AGACAAATTTTCTTCCACAGTTTTCATTCCAGCCTTTGTAGAGTTGAAGCAAGTTAGAACCTTGATCCGGAATTAGGCTTTGTCTAAATGGAACATTGTATTTGGTTTGATTTTCTAACAATACTACTAAAACTTTCCTCATATCATCAATATAAGACTATTTGGCTTTCTTAGCATGCATCTTTTCATAGGAATATTTATTTTAATTTTCTTTAAGAACTCCTTTACATTTGCAACTTGGCTAACTCGAACAACAGGCCTAGCTTTTACAATGTCTTTACCCTGGATTTATCATCCTCACTGAAACATGTAACTTTCACTTAAAGAACACCACAGTATTTTTAATTAGCCTAATTTCAATGTCTTTGTGTCTCAGGAAATAGAGGCCTTAGGATTGGGAAACGACGGGAGGCTGGTAAGTCAGTGGAGTAGTCAGACACATATTTATGAGATTTGATATATGATACATGTGCAGTTCATGGTGTGCCAAATAATTAGAATGTTACTGCCAAAGATCACAGATCACTACACAGATGTAACAACAACGAACAGTTTGAAGTACTGTGAGGATTACCAAAATGTGACAGATACAAAGCAAGCTCATGCCTTTGGGAAAACGGTGCCAACAGACTTGCTCAACACAGAGCTGCCACAAACTTTCAGTTCATTTAAAAACTATCTGCAAAAATACAATAAAGCAAAGTTCAATAAAATAATGTGTGCCCATATAGGTTTAAATACTTTTATGCACAGGTGAAATGAATAACACCAATGATACAAGGGACTTGAGAGAGGAATCAGGGATATTTTATTATAAAGTATTTGTACTACTTGTGGTGATTTAGTGTGTTTTTAAAGCATACTTGTATTAGCTGCAAATATGGATTTAAAAACCTAGGGCAAAGTTGAAAAGTAAAATAAAGTATAATTGAGATACTACGTTAAGAGAAAAAATGGAATCATATAAAATGCCAATTAAAACCACTGGTAGAGAAAATAGTAGAAGACATTACTAGGAAAAGTAATGGTAATAAATAGAGAACAGCAAAAATATGTCAGATATTATTTAAATTATATCAATAACCATTTGAAGGGGCCGGCACTGTGGCATAATGGATGAAGCCACTACCTACAGTGCCGGTATCCCATATGGGCGCCAGTTTGAGTCCCGGCTGCTCCACTTCTGATCCAGCTCTCTGCTATGGCCTGAAAAAGCAGTGGAGGATGGCCCAAGTTCTTGGGCCGCTGTGCCAGTGTGAGAGACCTGGAAGAGGCTCCTGGTTTTGTACTGGCACAGTTCTGGCTGTTGCGGCCAGTTGGGGAGTGAACCAGCAGATGGAACACCTCCCTCTCTCTCTCTCTGCCTCTCCTTCTCTCTGTGTAACTCTTTCACTTGATCTTAGCCAAAAGACCAAGAAGCAATATAACTGTGACATTCAAATAAATAAATAAATCTTAAAAAAAATAACCATTTGAAATGCCGATGGTCTAAAAACACAAAAGACTGGGGCAAGCATCTGACCTAATATTAAGACAACCACATTTCAATTTGGAATCGCTGGTTCAGTTCTCAGATTTGGCTCGTGATCCAGCTTCCTGACATGCAGATACTGGAAGGCAGCCATAGTTGGATTGTGTTCCTGGCTTTTGGCTCCAGCCTTGGCCAAGTCCCCATCATTGTGGGCAACTAGGGAATGAAAGTGAGCTCTCCCTCTGTTTGTCTCTCTGCCACTCAAATAAATAAAAAGATTCCAAAGATTGTCACAGGAGATCAAAAAATATGACAAAACATATGGCAAACATGAGATTCATTTTAAATACAAAGACGTGATAAAAAGTAAAAGGATGGAGAAGCATATACTATGCTAACACTAACAATAATCAGAAGAATGCTGGGGTAGCCATTTAATTTCAGATAAAGTAGGCTTCATATAAAATAAAATGAAAATGTGTAGAGAGATGTGATAAACGTGGTAATTCTATGAGAAGACATAATGATTCTTAACATGCACATGTCTAAAAGCAAAACATCAATATGCATGGAGTAAAAACCCTGACAGAACTGCAATAGATTAACCAATGTTATGGTCGGAAACTTAACAGCCCTCTATCAGAAATGGGTATATCCAGAAGAAAATCAGTAAATGCACAATTTTATCAATACTATCAAAAAACCATAATTGGTCAGAGCATGGGTAAAAAATCACAATTTACCAAATGTAAAGGAAAAGAAATCATGCCATATCTTCTTCAGACCAGAATGGACATAAACTTGGAATCATTAACAAAGAAAACCTGAATAATATACGTAAATCAGGCAACACAGGCAACACACTTCTAAGTAAAATTGGATCAAACAAATCCTAACATAAATTTAAAAATATTTATAACCAGATGAAACTGAAAATGCAATGTATCAAATGTGTGGGATGCAGCAAAAACAGTTTTTAGAAGAAAATTTATAACAGAACATACACACACATATTAGAAATGAAGAGCACTCAAAAGTCAGTAACTTAAGTTTCCAGCTTAGGTACCTATAGAAAGTGAGGCAAACTAAGTCCAAAGTAGTCAGAAGAAAACAAGCAAAAACACAATAGGAAATTTATGAAATTAAAAATAAGAAATCAATGGGAAAAAACCCATAGAATGCATAACATCAATGCCAAGTCCTCATGTAACCAAACATGGTTCCTACATACCCCCTTTCTCCACATGTGCACATGATCACCCACTATCAATACCCTGCACCAAAGTGGAACATGTTTTACAACTGACGAATGTACACTGATCACCCAAAATACCTAATTCACATTAGAGTTAATACCAACCCAAGCAAAGCTGGAGAAGATACATAATTTGAAACAAAACATACTTCAGCAAAAAAGAGATTATCAGAGACAGAGTAGACAAGAGGTGTGACGGTTAAGTCACTGCTTGGGATGCCTGTATCCCGTGCCTGGATTCACATCTTGGTTCTGACCCCCATCACAGCCTTGTGCTAGTGCACATCTTGGGAGAAATCAGGTGACGGCTCAACTAGTTGAGTCCCTTTCACCACATGTGAGACCTGACTGAGTTCCTGGCTCTTGGTCTTGATCTGGACTGGCCTTGGCTGTTGCCAGAGTAAACCATTACATGGGGAGACTTCTACCTGTCTGATTTTCAAACAAGTAAATTTTAAAATAATTATTGGAGGTAAATACCTAATGATATAGGAGTCAACATCAAAGAAAACATAATGCTAATGAGTATACACATAACAAAGCAACAAAATACATGAGGCCAAACTAAAGGAACTGAAATGTAAATAGACAAATAAATTATATTTGCTGCCTTCAGTACCATTTATTAGTAACTTCCAGGTCGAAAATCAGTGAGGATTAGTTGAATTTAGCACCCAATCAGTTAAACTGAATGTAATTAAGATTGATAGATCACTTCATCCAACACCAGAATTCATGCTCTTCTGAAGCTTACATGGAATGTTCACTGAGATGGAGCACAGTCTGAGCTACAAAACACAGTTTAATAACTTAAATAGAAGCCATGGGGGCCAGCACTGTGATGTAGCAGGCAAAGCTGCTGCTTGCAGCTCTGACATCCCATATGGGTGCTGGTTCGAGTCCCAGTGTTCCATTTCCAATCCAGCTCCCTGCTGATGTGCTTGGGAAAGCAGCAGAAGATGGCCCAAGTAAGTCCTTGCGCCCCTGCACCCATGTGGGAGACTTAGATGAAACTCCTGGTTCCTGGCTTCAGCCTGGCCCAGCCCCAGCCACTGCAGCCATCCCGGGATTGAACCAGCAAATGGAGTGTCTGTCTGTCTGTCTGTCTGTCTCGGCCTCTCCTTCTTTGTAACACTTTCAGGTTAATAAATAAGTATTTAAAAAAACAGAAGTCATGCAAAGGACAGTCTCCAGCCACAACAGATTTCAACTATATTATTGTAATATCAAAACCGAAGACATTATGGGAAAGGACAACAGCAAACAAATCTCTCTCAGGTGCTTGTACATAATTAATTAATAAAGGAACTATGGTACATTCTTTGTTGTTCAGGAGCATTATGAAAAAAATTACCAAGACCATTTAGAAGCAATTAACCTATGCTTACACTACTTACAAAAAACTGTGCAAGTACTTATCTCAAGAAAGCATACAGAGCGGGCTAACACCAGACAAAATAGATGTTAAAAGCATTTTGAAGAACATGAACATACCTTCATATTAGCATGTATAAATTTGTACACAATGCACATCACTGTTTCTAAATATACAAACCAATATGGCGGACCTACTAAGAGACAGAAATCCACATTCACATGAAGAGAATTTAAAATGCATCTCTCAGTAACACACTATTGACAGAAAATACTTTGATGAGAAAAAGAACTAAGCAGCACAATAAAAATGTCATGTAATAGCTTTATTGGTTGATTACACATTCATGAACCTAAGAACAATGGTCTTCAGATTACTTTGCTTTTTATTTGTTGACTTCTTTATTTAGTGGAGCCAATAAACCTTTAACTATATTTAAGTTTAAAGTGTTATCTCTGGAGTCAGCAAATTGTGGCACAGTGGGTTAAGGTGCCGCCTGCAACGCAGCATCCATATGTGCTATGTATGAGCACCTGTCTAAGCCCCCAGCTGCTCCACTTTTAATCCATCTCTCTGCTAATGCACCTGGGAAAGCAGTAGAAGACAGCCCAAGTGCTTGGGCCCCTGCTGCCCATGTGGAAGATCCAGATATGGTTCCTAGCTTCTGGCTTCAGCCTGGGCAAAACCTGGATGTTGCAGCCATTTGGGGAGTGAACCAGCAAATGGAAGATGCGTGCTCTCTGGCCCTCACCCTCTCCTTCTCACTCTTTCTGTAACTTTGCCTTTCAGACAAACAAATCTTTTACAAGTATGTTATCTCAAAAAAGAATAAAATATTTCAAAAAACAAAAAGAAGAATCAGAAAAAAAATCCATGATGATGAAAATGATCATACTTACTACTCAGTGCTTTATCCATTTTGAAAGCTGGAAGTTTTTTAGCTTGAGAACGGCTTTTTGATGTTGCAGCTTTATCTTCAGGTATAATATTTCCATGCAATTTCTCTTCCACATTTTGAGCTAGAAGAAAGATGTTTTTATTTATCAAATAAACAAATTATTGGAAAAATTTTGTAATTTAAATAGATGTCAATCATCTGGCAAAACTTCTCTCACATTCTGAACCAATAAAATAAAATACAATATTGTTGAGACAGTGAATAAAATTGAGAATTGTAAGTATAGAAATATAAGAGTACTTTTCAAGAAAATAGTTTAGGAATTTGCATTTTATAATAAAGTTTAATACTTTTGTAACAGATATGGATAAAAAAGAAATGATAAAACACCAAAATAAAATTTAAAAGGGAATTAAAAAACAGACCATGCAATAGACAGCAAAAGATAGCATAATAACCCCACATCAATTGAAAATGTAATAAATGCTACATATATGTGAAGCACTCAGATTTGTCACATTGTACTCAAAATAACCAACCATAATACATTTTATTTTAAAGATAGGCAGCATAAACATAATAAAAGGTTGAAAGTAAAATGCTACAAAAGCTTAGCAATGCAAATAGACTGACAAAATAGACTAAAAGCAAAAAGAATATCACCTAGTTCATCATGAAAAGAGTTTCAGTGCACTAAGAACATAACCATTTAAAATCTGTATGGATGTAATAAAACCCTCTAGAAATAAAAAAGTACAAAACTACAGAGACTATTAGAAAAATGAGCAATCACAGAACTTAAGATACCATTCTCACAAATTATAGAATAAACAGAGAATGTCAATGAAGTTAAGAACACATGAACACGGGGTGATGTTGTGGCATAGCTGGGGGTGTGCCACCTCCAGTGCCAGCATCCTGTATGGGCACTGGTTCATGTCCGGCTGCTCCACTTTCAGTCCAGCGCTCTGATAATGGCCTGAGAAAAGTAGCAGATGATGGCCCAAGTGTTTGGATCCTTGCCACCCAAGTGGGAGACCCGGATGAAGCTCCTAGTTCCTGGCTTAAGCCTGGCCCAGTGCTGGTCACTGAAGCCACCTGGGGAGTGAACCAGTAGATAGAAGATCTCAGTCTCTCACCCTCTCTTTGTAACTCTGACTTTCAAAACACACAAATGAATCTTTTTAAAGGGAGAACATATAAACAATATAATCAGCTTGAACTAATGGAGAATGTGTGTGTTTTGCATGTGTATGCACATGTGCATTCTGTGATAATTGAAAAAGAATTACTTATGCTTTATAGGATAAACATTTACAAACTAAGGAGGAATTTTTTTTAAATTATTCTTTGAAAAAAAAAAAACAGATATGAGAATCACTGATGTGCAGGCCAGTCTGGGGCTACCATACACAGGCTTTAAAAAGATGCTGTAGTTTCCATTTGGTATTAAGTGTGTGCTGAGATCAGGGCAAGGAAAACACATCTTTGAGACGGGATTTCCATGCTGCACAGTCACACACTTATCCTTGCCAGTGAAGGCACAGCTCCTTCAATCAGTTATGAATGACCAACTGAGAGAGGCGAGAGGCTGGGATAAAGGATTCAGCCCAAACTCAGGCTAACGGGGATCACATACAGATCTGAGCATTTTCATAGACCTTCTGAATATTTTTTTACAGAAAATAAGAGAATTTTGTTTATTATTTCTTTCTCATTCTTGAAAGTTCTTTTTTTTTCCCCATACACCCTAATACCCACATATGTCACTTGCCACCCATCCAGTCTCCTTGTTCCTAATGTCATTAGCCACAAATCCACTCTCCACGCTCACCAGTCATGAACCTGCTTTCTGATGGGTGCACAGCCATGTTGTCACAGTCACACAACACATCATCAGGAGTGGCTTCTCCAGAACACATCCGGAATAAAATATTCTTCAGGTCTGGCCAGGTCTCAGCTAAGTCAGCTTCACTTTGCTTTCTGATGATGCTGTACACCTCTGGGTCTGGGCTGTTCTCCCAGTGAGGAGCAGGCCACAGGGTGCTAGGTTCTGGCTGCTTCCGTTTTCTCCTACAGATGCAAACCAAACATGCAACCGTGGGGACCACAAGGAGAAGAAGGGGAACGCTGGAGATTAGGACACAGGCAAGACTCAAGGCAACTTCTTCACTTTCTTTCAATGTTTCTTTGGCATCTTTGCGTGCTTCTTCTGGAAATAAGGGCGTAGCTGGCTCTGTTGCTGCACCTCTTGGCCTTGTAGAAGGAGCTGTTGGTTTCTCTGAATTTCGGTGTGCTGCCCTCAGTCTAAAATACAGGTCTTGGCAGGCCATGCTGTTTGTTTCTCTTCGTGCCTCCTGAGCCCAATCCAGAAACCACCATCAGATGCCAAGAGGTTTTCCATGACTTTGTCCATCAGTCCCTTTATCTTCAGACTCGACGCTGACGAGCTGGCCCCATTCCTCCTGCCCTGCAGGCTTCTTCAGCTTCCTCCAAGTGCGGTTTTCCAGAAGCGTCACGGCAGTAAATGACTATAACTCACTTCTGTGTCCCTCCCTGGCAGATCAACTGTCCACTCAGGAGGTGCCGGGGGCGCCTGCGGACCCGCCAGCAGCAAGCAGCGCAGCCTGCAATGCTGCCCCAGGCCGCATGGCACGGTTGGGGTGCGGGTTGGGGTGCGCCCTCCAACAGGCGCTACGACTGCGCAGCGGCAGGACGCGGGCACCGTGCGCAGCTGGAGCAGCATCTCCCGAGGACCCACCGGGGCAGGCGGGGAGAACGGCACAGTCCGGTGGGCGCCCCTTCGCCCCCTGAGACATCACTAAGGAGACGGCAGCCCCGCCTGCTGGCCTGCCCCCGCCGGCCTCCTCCAGAGCTTGGGGCCAGACGAAGAGGAATTTTTTAAAGATTTATTTTTATTTATTAGAAAGAGACGGGGTTTTTAAGGTTAAACCTTTATCTTCTGGTTAAAGTTTTCTGATATTTCAACCACTTTCTCAGTTATAAAAAGAGAGGCAAAATAAATAAATAAATGGATCAGTTTTATTCTAAAGCCTCTAGATTATTTTTTTGGAAGATTTATATATTTATTTGAAAGTCAGAGTTACACAGAGAGGGGAGAGGTAGAGAGAGGTCTTCCATCCAATGGTTCACTCCCCAATTGGCACAAAGGCCGGAGCTGCGCCAACCCGAAGCCAGGAGCCAGGAACTTCTTTTGAGTCTCCCACACAGGTGCAGGGGCCCAGGGACTTGGGCCATCTTCTACTGCTTTCCCAGGCCAAAGAAGAGAGCTGCATGGGAAAAGGAGCGGCCAGGTCTTGAACCGGCGCCCACATGGGATGCTGGGGCTTCAGGCCGGGGTGTTAACCCACTGCCCCACAGAGCCAGCCCCAAAGCCTCTAGATTACTAGTGTATTCCAACAACCAGCCCAAGTTTTCTTTCACTTTTATAACATTTTAAGTAGATCAGTATACTGTGAATAAATGCCAGAAAAACCCCTAATGCACTTTCAAAATAATCCATAAGGAGAAGTGTAAAAATAATCTGAGTCCTTCCAGTGAAAGTATGTAGAGGCATCTTATAATATCATACATGTGTTTAGAAAATGGAAATTATACTTATTCTACTTAGAGTATTTACATTAAAAACTTTTCATAATACATGTAGTTAATTACATTGATTAAAAATAATAATTCCAAAATAAGGAAAGAAAGAAAATATAAAAGCATCTGGGGCAGTTGGGAAAAAAGTAAATTCCCCCAAAACATTTGAAACCAAATAGGTTAATGAGTACAATAATTGTGAATGGGTTACATATTCTAGGAACGGCCCAAGACAGCCACCACTCTGGATTTATAAACAACTTAACTGTCAGTTATTTCCAAGAGACAGCACCAAATTATAAGAGTACAGAAATGTTTAAAGTATGTGAAAAAGACATGCCATGAAAAATGAACCACCATAATTCTACAGTAGTTAAGTCAGACTTGTATGGACCTAGTAAAATAGATAGTATAAGCAACATGAGGGAATTGATAATTTCACAATCATATTAGGGCAATTCAATATAATTATCTCAGCAATTGATAGAACAAACAAAATTCAAGGAAATCAAGAAGTAAAAAATTCAAACGACATAATAAAAATCTACTCAATGGATGTCTATATAGTTATATAGTAAGACTTAGGTCTACAAAGATATGCTTAAAATATTATCAGTGTAATTAGAACAATAATCATGTTCATAACTGAATCTTTTCTTCCTAACAGCTCCAGTCCTGGGAAAAAGATTTTCATCAGAAACCTCTACACTTTCTTGTTACACAAGAATGCTGTTAAGATTTATCCAAGAGAACCTTATCTGTAGTGGAACCTTCTAGATTTACAATGTATGTTAATTACCCAGTAATATTTGTTTTATGTTTTAGTGATATAAGCAAATCACTGTCTACTTGAAAAATAAAGATCATGGGGCTAGCACTGTAGCACAACAGGTTAAGCTGCTGGTGGCGATGCTGGCACCTGTATCAGGGTGCTGGTTAGAGTCCCAGAAGCTCTGCTTCCAATCCATGTTCCTGCTAATGTGCCAGGGAAGGCAGCAGATAATGGCAGAGATTCCTGGGGGCCCTAACACCCATGGGGTGGACCAGGATAGAGTTCTTGGCTCTTGGTTTAGCCCAGGCCATTATGCACACACACAAGCGCACAGACACACACAGAGAAAGAGAGAGATTGAGAGAGAGAGAGAGATCTTCCACTCACTGCTTCATTCACGCAGTGGCCACATTGGCTCAGACTAATCCACGCGGAACCCAGAAGTCAGGAACTCCTCCTGGTCTCCCACATGGGTTGCAGGGGCTCGAGTACCTGGGCCATCCTCTGCTGCTCTCCCAGGGCAGTTAGGGAGCTGGTCTGGGAACGGAGCAGCCAGGACCTGAATCAGTGCTCTGATATGGGATTATGGCATCGTAAGCGGCAGTTTAACCTGCTGTGCTACGATGCTAGCCCCAGTAAATAAATTGTTCTAAAATCAGAAATGTAAACATCCTGTGAATTCACTTTCACTTATGCACAAAAGCACTTATTACTTTGTAATACATACAGAATATAAGCATTTTAATTTATAACTATGATAAATTATTTTATTACAAACACCATAAATAGTTATATGTTTAAAATTACTCTACTTTTCTTATTGAGTTTGCTCTTAAAATTTATACTTGATCTTTAGCCAAAAGGCTGAGAAGCGATTGTTCTTAAAACTTAAAACTCAGCTCCTGCAGATTTATTTTTGAAAGAACTCATCTTGCTTCTTTATTTCTAAGAACAAAGTAAATATTTGGAGCATAGTAAATAAACTTGTAATTCTCAAACAGAGAGGAAAACAAGACACATAAATCATCAATAAATATCCAGAACTGTGTTGGGAATAATTACCAAAAGAAGTATATATACTTGAGGGCTGGCACTGTGGCGCAGCGGGTTAACACCCTGGCCTGAAGTGCCAGCATCCCATATGGGTGCCGGTTCGAGACCCGGCTGCTCCACTTCCAATCCATCTCTCTGCTATGGCCTGGGAAAGCAGTGGAAGACGGTCCAAGTCCTTGGGCCCCTGCACCCACATGGGAGACCCGGAGGAAGTTCCTGGCTCCTGGCTTCGAATTGGTGCAGCTGTGGCCACTGCAGCCAACTGGGGAGTGAACCATCAGATGGAAGACCTCTCTTTCTCTCTCTCCCTGACTCTCCTCTCTCTCTGTGTAACTCTGTAACTCTGACTTTCAAATCAATAAATAAATCTTTAAAAATAAAGAAGTATATAGTTGGAGACATATTCAGAAAACAGTTTTCTTGAATTTAATTAAAAAGGTTTAAAAAATAGCCAGTTACTTACTTTTGAGACTCTCCTTTTTAATAGCTTCAGGTTGCTTAGTTTGAGAGTCACTTCTTGATAATGAAGCAATCTCCTCAGGCAATAGATTTTCAAGTAAGATACCCTTTTCCTGGGCTTCAAGAGGAAGTGCTAAATAGAAGAAGGAAAAAAAAAAAAAAACAGATGTGCAATGCAACTTCTGGGCATGCCCAGTAATCCTCAAATTTCACCCAAGGAGGTGAAATGAGAAATCATTTGGTCAGTTTTTGTGAAGTGTGTATGAAGGTAGTGCTGTTACTTTGGAAAATACTGACCATGCAAAAACAAACAAACAAACAAACAAAACCTATCAATAACTTTGCTTCTATTCTCCAGTTAGCAGTGTTTAGTCCTTATACTTCAGGTCAAAGTGTAAATTATATATAAAATGTATATTTAAATGCTTATTGAATCAAAAGAAAATGTCTTCTGCTGAGTTTAGTATAAAAGAATTTAAAGGGGTGTGTGTGTGTGTGTGTGTGCGTGTTGTGTGAGATTCTATACAGATGGCTGTATAGAGAAGTTTTGTTTGCCTCCATAAAAATACTCCAAAACAGCCACATCTACAGGTGAGTGCTTGAGGAAGAACACCAGAAGCAGTTTGAAGCAGGAACACAGTGGGACACGGACAGACAACATAGCAGCTTGGAGAGAGGAGAAAGAGGAACAAGGCCAATCCAGGCTGCATACGAAGCCCCACCCCCAGCAGTGTGTCATTTTAGAGATTCTGAACCAGGCAGTCTGCTGACACAGCACCAAGTTACAGAAGATGGACCTTCCTCCCTCAACCTCCCATAAAGATAGGGATGAAATCTTTGGGAGGGGCAATTATATGGATGAGTAGGGTGCATTAGAGCAAAGAGCTCTTGACTGAGAGCCCCAGCTGAGTCAGTTTTGCAGCTTCAGCCAATCCACCATGGGACAGCACCAGCCAACCCGCACAGCAGCATAACATGCTGTGGGACAATTATGGTGGTGCACCGCAGGACAGCTCTGGATGGCTCTTGCAGCAGCCATGACTATCCCCTGCATGACAGCCTGTTCTGTACCACCCAACACATCCTTTCTCTGCACCACCTGAACCTTTTTTGGTGCATTATCCAAACCTGTCTTGTGTCTACCACCAACATCCTCTTGTAATGTAGGTGAAATCATGTCATTATCAGAAAATTACCATGGCCATCACTCTCATTCTCATCACACACTTGATGCTATGACATTTCTCATGTTTCCCAAAATGGGCACAGATATGAGTGGCACCCAAGACATACCCAAAATTCTTCCCATTATGTAGAATCAATTAAAACCCACCTCAAATGCCATCCTTATGCATTCTGAGAATATAAAAGGGTGGCCTGAACTTTGTTGAGGGGATATTTTTGTATTTTGGCTTTTTTGTTCATTCTCTTTCTAAGTTCATCTGTACTTTTTCTGTGCTATGAATCTTGCTTCCCTGCAAACCTTTAAGCCTCCACTTTCAATTCGTTCATACACAGAGGGAAGAATCTGAAGTAAACCTGGCTGGGGCTCTGTTCCCCACAACAATAGGACATTTGCAAGAGTTTCAGGGTCCTTGGAGGTTCTAGCCATGAGTAAGTCTCATAAGGTGCTGGTGGATGCCATGGAGCTCCCTTGCAGAGTTCTAATGGACTCTTTACAGACCACTCTCAGTTCTCAGGAGAACCACCGGGCCTTCCCCAAGTCCCTCACATCCTAGCTGAACTTCCAATATCTGTCAAATTACAGAAATGACCTGACAGGGGCTCTAATAGCCCTTTCCTCGCACAATGAGGAAGTGAGAACAAGATCAGATTGTTGATCAGTCTCAAATTTCTAGGTTCACTTGGTTTAGTACTGCCAAACCTATTGATAAGCTCACGTCAGCCCACAACACAATCTAGATCTTAATGAATCAACTCTTAGGCATGGAATACTGGCTGCTGCCCAGATAGCAGACAAATGGCAACTGTGTGCCCTCTGAAGGATGATCCAGTCACTGGCCTTATGGAGGAGATCCATGGGACTGGCTGCCAAACAAAGAGGTCTCAAAGGAGCTCCACCAAGGATGCAGGGCCAGTGTGACCCAGCAGAGCACCAATGGCATCTCAGGTCCACACGTAGATGATCACTAGCGACTATAAGGGCTACTCCTTCCAGCTTTCCCAGGGACTGTTGAAACTGCCATAGGCTGACTCTGTTATGAAGGAAGTCACTTCATTAAACTCAGTGGCACCTGTGAAGTGTATCATACCGATCATTCCCATTTTAACCCAGATTTCTAATTTTCACAAGCAAATGAAAAAGGGTGAAGCCAAGATTCCTAAAACAAACAGGGAAACCTAGAACAAATGGATAGATTCCTGCATAAATACAACCTACTTAAATTGAGCCATGAAAACACAGAAAACCTAAACAGACCCATAACCAATAGCTAAGACCTGGAATCAACCTAAATGCCCATCAACAGTAGACTAGATAAAGAAATTATGGGATATGTACTCTATAGAATACTATACAGCAGTCAAAACCAATAAAATCCAGTCATTTGCAACAAAATGGAGGAATCTGGAAAACATCATGCTGAGTGAATTAAGCCAGTCCCAAAGGGAAAAATATCATATGTTCTCCCTGATCAGTGACAACTAACCGAGCACCAAAAAGGAAACCTGTTGAAGTGAAATGAACACTATGAGAAATGGTGACTTGATCAGCCCTTGCCCTGATTGTTGATGAACAACTTAATACTTTATCCCTTTTAGTATTTTTTGTTTGTTCTACTTAATACTATTGGTTAAATTCTGTAATTAATACACAGTTATTCTTAAGTGTTGAAACTTAAATCTCTGTTAAATATAAGAGTGGGAATAAGAGAGGGAAGAGATGTACAATTTGGGACATGCTCAAGCTGACTTGCCCCAAATGGTAGAGTTAGAAACATACCAGGGGATTCCAATTCAATCCCATCAAGGTGACATGTACCAATGCCCTCTCACTAGTCCAAGTGATCAATTTCTGGTCACAATTGATCATAATGATAGGACTAAGAGTCAAAGGGATCACAAAATAAGACTAGTATCTGATAATACTAACTGATAGAATAAAAAAGGGAGAGAACGATCCAAGATGGGAAGCGGGATACACAGCAGACTCATAGAATGGCAGATGTCCTAAATAGCACTCCGGCCTCAGAATCAGCCCTTAAGGCATTCAGATCTGGCTGAAAAGCCCATAAGAGTATTTCAGGCATGGGCTGGTGCCGTGGCTCACTAGGCTAATCCTCCGCCTTGTGGCGCCGGCACACCGGGTTCTAGTCCCGGTCGGGGCACCGGATTCTGTCCCGGTTGCCCCTCTTCCAGGCCAGCTCTCTTCTGTGGCCAGGGAGTGCAGTGGAGGATGGCCCAAGTGCTTGGGCCCTGCACCCCATGGGAGACCAGGATAAGTACCTGGCTCCTGGCTTTGGATTAGCGCGGTGCCGGCCACAGTGCGCCAGCCATGGCGTCCATTGGAGGGTGAACCAACGGCAAAGGAAGACCTTTCTCTCTGTCTCTCTCTCTCACTGTCCACTCTGCCTGTCAAAAAAATAAAAATAAATAAATAAATAAAAAGAGTATTTCAGGCATGGAAAGTCAAGACACTCTGGCAAAAAAAGAAAAAATTACCTAAATGAAAGATCTCCACACGTGAGATCCCAGTGGAAAGAACAGGTCATCAAAGAAGGAGGTACCTTTCTCTGAAGGGAGGAGAGAACTTTCACTTTGACTATTACCTTGTCTAAATATGATCAGAGTCGGCGAACTCCAAAGGCTTCCATAGCCTTGGAAACTCATGACAAGAGCCTAGGGAGATTACTGATGCCTTAAACAAGAGTGTCAATTTGGTAAGTCAACAACAGGAGTCACTGTGCACTTACTCCTCATGTAGGATCTCTGTCCTTAATGTGCTGTACATTGTGATTTAATGCTATAACTAGTACTCAAACAGTATGTTACACTTTGTGTTTCTGTGTGGGTGCAAACTGTTGAAATCTTTACTTAATATATACTAAACTGATCGTCTATATATAAAGAGAATTGAAAATGAATTTTGATGCAAATGGAAGGGGAGAGGGAGCGGGAGAGGGGAGGGTTGAGGGTGGGGGGAAAGCCATTGTAATCCATAAGCTATACTTTGTAAAAATTTATATTCATTAAATAAAAGTTTAAAAAATAAAATAAAAAAATATAAACTGGTCCAGCCACTGTGTGAGACAGTATGGAGATACCTCTGAAATCTGAATATAGACCTACCATATGACCCAGCCATCCTCATCCTGGGAATTTTTCTAAACCAAAAGAAATCAGTATATTAAAGTATTAATTATATTGAAGTATTATCTGTACCCCTATGTTCATTGCAGCTCAATTCATATTAGCTAAGATATGGGATCAACCCAGATGTTCATCAACTGTTGACTAGAAAAAGAAATTATGGCACATGTACACCATGGAGTACTATTCAGTTGTAAAAATACATGAAATCCTATCTTTTGCAACAAGAGGGTTGTAACTGGAAACCATTATTCTTAGTGAAACAAGCCAGTCCCCAAAAGACAGACAGATATATTTTCCTTGATCAGAATTAATGGAGTACCTGAAATGTAATGTTTTGGAGTGAAATTGACATTTTGAGAATCTATGATTGTTTATAGCCCTTGTTTCTTACACTGAGGAACAGTGTTTTGATTTCTTTCTCTTCATACTATTTGTTGAACTCTTTTACTCAGGGTAGGGTTAACTATACTATCATTAAATATGCTGAAAATAGATCATTGTAATAATTAAGAGTAGGTATCCAAGAGAGAGGGGCAGAAAGTTTGGAGCGTGGGCAAGAGGGAGGGTGGTGGGGGGGAGTGAAATGGCACTATGTTCCTAAATCTGTATATGAAATATATGAAATTTGTATAACTTAAATGCTTTTTTTTTAAAAAAAGGAAAACAGGTCTGCATGAAATCTCTAGATTTCAAATTTAACAGTTGGTAGCAACATTTTCTCATTTTGAAAAGCTGTAGGTAAACTCATAATGCTACATCTGATATGGAAATTGGTAGAACATTTTAATGTGTTTGAAGATATGACATTACTTCATATATCTTCATAGGCATCAAATATATTTTATATTAGCCTATAACTTTCTTAGATTACTTATAATTTAGGCTAATGCACAGTCATAGAACAACACATGAGAATACAAATGCAGTTATTCATTACAGCATTATTTGTAACTGCAAAATAGTAAAATCTAATAAAATTTTTTCTATTGAGAAGATGATATGTGCATAGAACAAAGGTCATATCAATTAGGATATATTGTGATGTGCATACCTGAAAGTGCATGTATAAATAGATGTTGCATATATGGTATATAATATGTACAAATAATTGCCCACAGAGGAGACTTTGCCCTCCTGTCTGTGCTAATACAGGGTACCCAGACAACTTCCTATGGTCTGCTTGGCAATTGCTCCTACTCATATGATTAATACAATTAATACAAATGCTGTTTCTTTTCTATCTCCTAGTGAATTTTGAGATAAATGAGTCAGAGAGTCCTGCCAAGTTGTGCTCACACCTCTCAGTACATGTGCCTCTGTTGCCTGTGAGGAATGGAAGCCCTAGATCCAAGTTAAAGTTCGAAGTGGACATGCAGGAGAATTTCATTTCTGGGGACTTTTAGATGATAGTCCAAGTGACTGTGATCCCCCAAATCCCTGGCATGTGAGTGAGGAGGGACGCTTAATGTCCCCAGGCTTTTATTTTAGGCCACTACCAAGACCTCCCACAGACCCAGCCCTCAGTGGGTTCCTTCCAGATGCTGTGACCTACACTGTCAGGGCTCTGCTGCTGAATGCACCATCACTACAGATGCATCCTTTGTGTACCCCCAACTTCAGCCACGCCTAGCCCAAGTGAACTGCATTTTGGACATCTCTGGTGAAGCATATAGAAGACTGCAACCTGACTACCAGCAACCTTTGGTTTTCACACAAAAACATCATCAACTATCTCAGTGAAAATAATAAACAGCTGCCTCTTTGTTGGAAATAAGAAAGCTGAAGGTCACCAACTGGCCTGGGATGTCTGGAGACTCAATAGATCACTGGTGGCTCAGCAAGGCAGTGCTGCCTTTAGCACTGGTGTTACTTGACATTGAGGTGTTCACAGTGGCCACTACCCAAGCTGAGAGAAGTTGGTAGAAAGTAGCTGGAGTTGCAAGTGCCCTTTCTAGCATCATGATTCATACCTGTGGTCAGGCCCAGCTTGCTCATGTAGGACAGGTTGCAATGCACCTGGAGTGTCATCCCACAAGACTGTGACTTGAGCAACGTACATTGCCTTTGATGAAGCCCTAGTCACCTTCTGTATGAATCACAACCTCCCTTGGACTGACAAAACCACTGCCAAGCAAGGCCATGTGCTGAGGACCCACAAGTGGTAACACAGCTGGGCCATTGTTGCAGATGGAACATGAAGATCTACAGCCATGAGAAATCCTGGGACAAACTACAGAGGAACAAGACAGCTCATAGTGGAAAGGGTGAGTGACAAGTTCTAGTCACTCTCAGTACCAACAAATACAAGGAAGCCCAGTCTCTCGTGGAATATTTTGTTACTGATGCACTGGCACTCCATATGTTGGCTTCTTGATGTCACCATCTATCATGCAACCAGAGAGACTTCTATTTCAGAGGGAGGCCTAAAGCAGGATGTCCTACAGGCCCTCAATTGGCCACGGGGGCCACAATCGCTCTTCTGATACATTTTGCCACTTGAGTGTCAGGTCTGAGAACCTCTGTCTCTCAGTTGGAGTCTAGGATAAAAGAACACTGCCATATGTCAGTGGTGCCCTCTGGGCCCTTGGTTGCACAATCTCCTGTTGTTGGCTGAATGCTGAGCAGCTGTGGGGCCCTGGCAGAAACTGAGAACAAAAGCATACCATGAAATAGTTTTGTAACAGAAATTTATCAGAAATAAGCCGGCGCCGCGGCTCACTAGGTCCACCTTGCGGCGCTGGCACATGGGTTCTAGTCCCGGTCGGGGCGCCGGATTCTGTCCCGGTTGCCCCTCTTCCAGGCCAGTTCTCTGCTGTGGCCTGGGAGTGCAGTGGAGGATGACCCAAGTGCTTGGGCCCTGCACCCCATGGGAGACCAGGAGAAGCACCTGGCTCCTGCCATCGGATCAGCACGGTGCGCTGGCCGCAGCGCGCCGGCCGCAGCAGCCATTGAAGGTTGGACCAACGGCAAAAAGGAAGACCTTTCTCTCTGTGTCTCTCTCTCTCACTGTCCACTCTACCTGTCAAAAAATAAAAAAAAATTAAAAAAACATTAAAAAAAAGAAATTTATCAGAAATAAATATTAGTGTTTTTCTAGAGTTTGCATCAAAGTATAAAATATCTACAGATTATTTATTCAAATACATATCCATGAACCAAAGAAAAAAGATCTGATGAATTTAATTTTTTTAAAGTTATATATAATTTTATTACACTTACATATTTCCTCACTGGACATACTTTGTTCTTTTATTTGTATTTCAAGTTCTGAGCCTGAATCTTGATGTTCAAGCACAAGATTTTCATCTGGTACTTCATCAGGAGCTACATGGGGAGATACGTTTAGTCTCTTAGAGAAGCAGATTTATTGTGAACTCTGGTTTTAAATCTGTAATAATAGCATATATTTACATATAATTACATAATTACCATAATGACAGATGTGACATGAATATGTGTTGAAGCTGGTCATTTCATAACATTTCTAGGTATCTAATATATATTTGTCTTGAGTTCTGTTTTTTTTAATACTTTAGGCTAATACATATTCATGGAACTATAACCAAAAGTGCACATGAACAGTGCTATTGATTTCAACATATTTGTAACTGAAATACTCAAAGCTACATACATCTTTAAGCAGAAGATATTGGTTGAATAAATTAAGGCTGTATACTATATTTTGTGGTATAGTACAAATTATATGATACAAACAGCTATAAATATATTGAAAAATGAATGGCACATCTCTATAAATTGACTTCAAGACATTTTTTGGGAATGGTGTTAAGAAAAATAGTAACAAGGTGAAAGCTTACATGTTTACCTATGGTAGATGAAGAAATAAGACAAATAGAGTAAGAAATAAAGATATAGTTATCTTCACAAAAATAAATGTAGGAACGATGTCATCAACAGGGTGCCACCTACAAAATGAGAGGAGGGATTTGGAAGGGCATGATACTCCTCTAAGTTTACCTCTATTGCATTTATTTTCTTTTTGGAAGCAGATTCATGTTCTACATATTTCAAAAGCAAAATTAAAAAGGACAAGAAAGTGTAATTAGAGCTAAAAGCAAAATGAAAAAATTAGAGGAAAATATAATTAGTAACATCAACATAATATTTGAAATAAACATTCACTCTTGGACATGAGAGTAACAGGATGAACCCACAAAAAATTACAAACCCTTTTAGTGTGCTGTTAATGTGCTGCAGAGTGCATGTGCCAAGCAAGTCTAACCCTATGCAAGAATCACAGGGTTGGGCAAATGACCTCAGACACTGATATCATTCAGAATCCTGGATATCTTGGTCTTAGGACTCACAAAATGGACAAGAGCTCTTTTGCCTGTGAGATAATCTTTTGCACCCACCTGTGCAATCTAACCTAACAGACCCTTGCCAGGTGCTTTTCCACAGAGCAATCGGAACATGACAGCTTTTACCATCCCATATCCCAGGAAGTGAACAAATAGTTTGTCATGGTAGCTCAGCAGACCAACCAAAAACCTTGCACCTCCTTCCTCTGACAAATCTGCTCAAAGAGGAGGGGAGCTGATGAAGCACTAGGCCTTTCTGGTGGTACCCTTTGGAAGGTGTTGAGATTCTCAGAAGGGGTATCAGGGTGCTGCAGTTCTCATTTGTAAGGGACTGGGAGCTCAAGTGTCATGGCAATGTGATTCAGAAAGCGCTAGCAGACAACACGAGGCTTTCTAGAATGCCATTGTAGTGTTCATATGAGTTTCTCAGTTTTGACAGGGCACAGAGTGTTTCTCTTAATTTTGAAGACATCCAAGGAGTCAAATGAAAGATCCAACAGACGGGCTCTACGAAAGCTAGGGAAGCAATTCTGGGGTTACGGCATATGGTTCTAAGACAATGGGTTAAAACTGCTGGAGACTCAACACTGAAATGCACTCAGTGAGTTTTCTTAGATCTAGGAATGCCCTTAAAATTGGTGGGAGACCATGATGATTTAGTAATGCTTTAATGAAAAGAACGTAGCTTAAGGGTCATTTTGTCTAGCAACTCAAGCAGGTATTATGACCTGGGTAGTTGGCTTCCACAATAAAGGAGGAAAGCTTCTTAACCTGTGAGGCAGAGGTACATTGAAGGGCTTGAAACTGCAGAACCCCTTCTTATGAGACGCTTAGCAGTCCCTAGCCCATTATATATTAGTAATATCAATACAATATTTGACATAAATATGTATTTCTCCAAGTTAGTGGAGGAAAGTGGGAACAAGCATGGGCAGCTGGGACCCTGTCTTTCCTCAGCGGGGTACTATTCTGTTACCAATAGGATGGTTAACCAGAATGAATTCCTTGCCACTGAAACACATGTTTGGGTTATCCTCTGCAGAGGTTATAGGTCCCTGAGTTATGTTGCTGGTCCCTATCAACATTGATACGGTAAGCAGAGTAATGGTATCTGCAACCCTAAGATTTCTAGTTTCATTCATGCGACCCTTGCTTGTTCCTTAACTCAGCTAAACCTACTTATAGGGTGATGGCAATTATTTTGCAGCATAATCCTGATCTTAACAAATTTCTGGAGGTGGAAAAACAAACTACCACACTACAGCAGTGTTTGACCTGCGAATAGAACTACCTAACTGTAGTCATTGGGCGCTTGGGTTTTTCTCAAGAAATCTCTGTTTCTATTTATTCAACAATGGACTCTAAGCAAAGATGTCCTACTTTCCTCTAAGGATCTTATGGCCAGATTGTGGTCCATGGTACCAATGCTCAACACCACTGAGATCTAAATTGTGAGGACTCCAACGTCTAACAGAAGTGCTCTCCATGACACACCTCCCAGTGATGTTGACATGGATCAGAGACTCCTGGGTTTCAGAAATAAACAAGATTAGGTGTCACCAGTGGTAATCTGAGGGCCAAGGCTGGCATTAAAAGAAGTGTGGGAAGGCCGGCGCCGCGGCTCACTAGGCTAATCCTCCGCCTAGCGGCGCCGGCACACTGGGTTCTAGCCCCAGTCGGGGTGCCGGATTCTGTCCCGGTTGTTCCTCTTCCAGGCCAGCTCTCTGCTGTGGCCTGGGAGTGCAGTGGAGGATGGTCCAAGTCCTTGGGCTCTACACCCCATGGGAGACCAGGAGAAGCACCTGGCTCCTGCCATTGGATCAGCGTGGTGCGCTGGCCGCAGCGCGCCGGCCGGGGCGGCCATTGGAGGGTGAACCAATGGCAAAAGGAAGACAAGACCTTTCTCTCTGTCTCTCTCTCTCACTGTCCACTCTACCTGTCAAAAAAATTTAAAAAAAGAAGTGTGGAGGAAATTCCATTTTCAGGGCTGTTAGGGCAGGGGTGCCCAGCTGACAATGGTTTCCACAGCTTCTGTCCAAATATAAGGAATTGGGAAGACAGAAAACTCCATTTTGATTCTGGCAAACTCCATTTTCATAGGCTCCTCTTCTGAATGTTTTCTTGGTGTGGGTATATTTTTCTATGTGATATCTTCCTTGCATTCTACCACAAGCCCTGATGGGAACTGCTGCATTTACTGCCATTATAGTAGGGCATGTAGAAGGTTGTAAACCTTCAGACTATTAGCACCAAAACAAATCCCTGGGGAGAAAAAGAAATAGCTGTTCTCACTGCTGAACTTAATGAAACCAAAGTTATCCATGAAACTGTTTGTCTTCAACAACGAAATAGTTCCTTACTCATGGGCTCAGAGGCCATCACTCAATCCATTTTAGTGGTTCAACTCTATAGCACAAACCTGATCCACGACCCTGTGACTGTCACACAGGGTATTGTCTAAACTGAGGGCATTTGGTTTGCAACAGCTGAATTTCAAATGTTCCTTTTCCACACAGATTTCAAGGTAAGTTTAACTATGTGAAATTCATTGCACTACACTACTGATACCCTTACACAAAGTGACCAAATAGCTCTTATATCTTCTGTCAATGCATAGCTCATAACCTCTCAATGATCTGCTCCTGGAGGGAGGATTCACCTCTAGTGCATGGATGATATAACTCACGTGGCCAATGCAAGGACATCACCCAACAGGGACTATGTCCTATTGACCCACCATGCTCTTAGCCAGGCCATGGGTACAGCTTAGAGAAAGCTGCCCAGGAACTTGGTGAAATTCTGGAATTGGTCTCTAAGGGGCATGGCATCTTATTCCAGAGGAGACTGCCAAGCCATGGCCCTCCCTGGTACAACAGACAAAACGAGGACCAGGAGTAGGTCTTTGACCTTGTAGTTAAGACTCCAATGAAGACGCCCATTTCTCACATCAGGAGCCTAGGTTTAAGTCCTGCATCCAGCTACCACTTCCAGGTTCCTGCTTAAGTGGATGCTGTGAGGCAGCAGGTGATAGCTGAAGTGGTTGGGTCCCTGCCACCCAATGGTAGATCTGCATTTGGTTCCTAGCTCCTGGAATCAGCGTGACATAGCCGAATCATAGCCGAGTTGTCCCACTGTGGCCATTTGGATCATGAACCACTGGATGGAAGGTGTGTGTGTGTGTGTGTGTGTGTGTGTCTGTGTGCCTCAAATATTAATAAGAGGAAGAGGAGAACTTAGTGGAACAACTCTGATACATACACCCTCATTTTCTCTTTGTGGAAAAACTCTTCTTTGAGGACATCATGACATCCTTTCATGGGTTACAGAAAGGCTGTTTCATGCTAGTGGGGTCATGGCCAAGAAGACAGCCTAGTGGACCTCACATGGTTTTTCCAGACTGCCTTCCCCTAGGCTCTCTGGATTCCTGTTTGCAGTTTGATCTCAGTGATATCTCTATTTGCTGACTGGGGCCTAGGGCAGAAGATCACTACTACAGGTCAGAAGTTCCTGTAAGGCTTTGGAATCCATAATCACAACTGAAATGAGACACTATTTTGGAAATAGTACATGTTTTAGTACTTCGGGGAATACCCCATGTCCTGCAGTCATTAAATAAACTTTGCGCCAGAAATCTCAACCAGATTATTGGCATTTTTGCTTTTTCTTCTCCAGTTATTAAGGGTACTCACATTCTAAGTCATAGCATAAAATGTCTATAAAATAAATGCTCATATACATATTCATGAACCGAAGTAAAAATATCTCATTAAAAGAGGTAATCAACCTTTAACTATTATACTTACTATTAAGCACTTCCCCTGAAGAAGTTCTTTGTGTCTTTGCTTGAATTTCTGATTTTGATGTTGAGTCTTGAGGTGAAAGCAGAAGATTTTCATAAGTTTCTTCTTTGCTAGCTACAAAAAAGATGTATTTAATCCACTAAATGAAAATTATTTAAATCTCTAGGTTTCAAATTTATAACAAGTATACAGTAGCATTTTCTCTCTTTTATAAAGTGGTAAGCAACTTACCATAAACCTTGGTCTAATATGAATATTGGGAGAAGATTTTTAAGGGATGTGTGTTGAAGTTTTCTCATATCATTAATGTCCCTGGAATTTGAATATGCCTTATTTTATTCTCTATTTTTCTTGTTTTTTTTCATATTTTCTGTTAATACACATCCACAGATATAATGGAGAAAGAGCTTAAGTGCAAGATTAGTTATTACAGCACAGTTTAACTGCAAACCTGAATGTAACAAGCTTAGGAGATTGATCCAATAAAATGAGGTATATAAACTATGATAGTATCAACAATAGGCTAAACAACTGTACAGACAGCTGTCAATGCAATGTAAGGGATACCTAAAAACTTAGTGATATTTTTATGAAATAATGTTTAGTGAAGACGGGATATCTCATATGTTATCTTTTAAGTAACAGTACATAAGAAAAAAAGAGATGCTTCTTTTCATAAAATAAAACACAAGAAAAATAAACTGGAGAACAAAGTACGTTGTCACCAAAACTTAGAACTAACTGTGGTATTATCAGCAAGTTTTTTTTTTTTTTTTTGACAGGCAGAGTGGACAGTGAGAGAGAGAGAGACAGAGAGAAAAGTCTTCCTTTTCCGTTGGTTCTGTTGGCCAGCCACTGCGGCCGGCGCGCTGCACTGATCCAAAGCCAGGAGCCAGGTGCTTCTCCTGGTCTCCCATGCAGGTGTAGGGCCCAAGGACTTGGGCCATCCTCCACTGCCTTCCCGGGCCACAGCAGAGAGCTGGACTGGAAGAGGAGCAATCGGGACAGAATCCAGCACCCCGACCGGGACTAGAACCCAGTGTGCCGGCGCCGCAGGCAGAGGATTAGCCTAATGAGCCGCGGCACCGACCATCAGCAAGTTTTAGAGACTTGGATTTAATGGGCCAAAGTAAAATGATCTTATGATGAGATTTATTTTTAAATTAATCTATGCATAATATTTATACTTACTACTGGGTCTTTCTGATTTACTTCTTCTGTGTTTCTTTACTCCTTTTTGTATTTTTGACACTGAGTCCTCAGGCTGCTGCATGAGGTTTTCCTCCGTTTCTCCACTACGGGCTGCACAAAGAGATGTATTAATTTACTCAGTGAAAATAAACAGCAGCATTTCTCTCACCTTTGAAAAGTTTCCTAAAGAATGTAAATCTCAGGGGCCGGCGCTGTGGCACAGCAGGTAAAGCTGCCACCTGCAATGCTGGCATCCCATATGGGCACCGGTTCAACACCCAGCTGCTCCACTTCTGATCCAGCTCTCTGCTGTGGCCTGGGAAAGCAGTAGAAGATGGCCCAAGTCCTTGGGCTCCTGCAGCCACATGGGAGACCTGGAAGAAGCTCCTGGCTCCTGGCTTCAGATTGGCACAGCTCCGGCCATTGCGGCCATCTGGTGAGTGAACAAGTGGATGGAAGACCTCTCCCTCCCCCTCTCCTTCTCCTTCTCCCTCTCCCTCTGCCTCTCCTTCTATCTGCCTCTCCTTCTTTCTGTGTAACTCTGACTTTCAAATAACTAATAAATCTTAAAAAAAACAAAAGAATGTAAACCTCTAAGGCTCATTTCACCAGCACACGGGGAGATTTAAAAACTTGAATCGTTTGTTGTTGTTCAAGGACATAGCATCATTGACTTTGTGACAGTGGTACCTTGTGTGATGTGTCTGACATCAGGGAGGCAGTCCATTAACTGTTTTCTGTGTGACTGTTGTACCTTGTATGGTGTGTCTACTGCCAGGTGGGCAGTCTTGTTAACTTCCTGTGTGATGGTGGCACTTATTCCCAATGACCTGAGAGTCTCCAATGTATATGGGAGCGGCCTGGCTAACAATAGCAGGAGCATAGGAAATTCTTGATATTGGTTGCCATTTGTTTTTTCAATAGTGTTGACTCATGTATCTGCATAAATCATCCATTTACTAGAAAAACAGAATCTCAAGGAAAGACTTGATGGATTCACAAGAATTTTCTGACCAGGCAATAAAGTATGGAGGCCAACACACAGCCCCAACAAGAGTCACAATAGTGATGAATAATATAATTGCTCTTAATTTTTTCTTCTCCCAGTGATCTTAAGATTAACTGGAGAACTGTGTGCTATTGGCAAGACATCTCACCTTTCAATTCAGTTTAGGGGTTAGGTTAAGGTTCCTAAGTCCCCCAGGGCCTATGAGGCTGTCTTCTAGATCAGAATTCTAGAGGCAGTGGTAGAAAATTATGTAATTTGGGCTATTTGGGTCCCAGTTTACCAAGGACTAAGCTCTGTAATCTCTGCATCAGGATGAGGAGAAACAGATTATAATTTGTGGTTTTAGGCCTAAAATCCACCAAAACCAAGATTTTACCCAGACCCAACTGTTGGTGTCCTTTGGGCCCTGTAATCCTCTAATTCTATGCCTCCAACTACTGATTATAGGTATAGATGTGTCTCCTATGTGAGCCGCGGTGGGAACTGCCCAAGTTAAGATCATTCTTTGGGTCACGTGGAAGACCCTACTGATCTGTCACAAGAAAAAATAAATCTACCAGTGAGAGGAAAAGAAACCACTGCCCTCATCATCGTGAGATTAGGTTTCCACTCAATACTTGGCATGTGATGGGGACTTGCTTGACTATGGACTCAGACTCTCACAGGCAGGTTAGTGCTATGGTATGGTCAGGACATTGCAGCCCCCTTGGAGGTTAATACCTCTGCTGAGGGAAGTAAATACTGACTCTGAAACTGCCCTATTCAGCATTCCTGTCTACACACATGGGTAGGATCAGTTTGCCTCACCTGGAGTGGGCCATAATAGCCCTCATCTGGACTAACAGCTGTGTTGACACACATGCAGAAAGGTAACTGGACATTAGTACGAGGCACAGGAATCCTGTACCAAGGTGAAATTCCTGTGGACGAACTAGGAGGGGTCAACACATTGTACTCCAGAGAAAATAGCTGCTCAGTATTGGATCTTCTTGGTCCAAAGAAATGCATAAAAGCTGAGTGATTTGTGGGATTCTTCTGCTACTGGCCCTCTCACATATTCCTGGATGCAACCATCTATCAAGTTTCCCCAAAGCCTATTTAAATGGGTCTCAAATAACATGATACCACCCACTATTCCTCCAAAGCTACTCTTCTTCTTTGCCCCTTAATCTACATTTGAAGTACAAGTCTTAGCAAAGTCTCTGTTCACCAGGTGAATTCTATGGAAGAAGTATACAGCACAGGTCATTGGACTGTTGGGCCTTTAAACTTGCAACTTCATGGGGTTGGTGGAAAGGTAAACACACTTTCTGGCTACTGAGCATGATCATGGTCATGAAACAAGAAACAATAATTGAAATTTGTGAATACTCAGGCTTTTATTCTCTAGTTACCTATGGCATTCACTCATTATATCAAAGATGAAATTTCTATGAATATTTAGTGAAATAAAGATTCCTGAACTTTAGAAAGAGGTCTTAAGATGTGTTTAATTTAAAATAAAGTTACCTATGACTTTCATACTTACTGGTGAGACTTCCCCCTCTAGAAGTGTCACGCATTTCTACTTGTGGTTTGATTTCTGACGTTGATTCTTGATGTTCAAGTATGACATTTTCATTTCCTTCTTCATTATGAACTATATAGAGAAATACATTTAGTCCATTAAATAGAAAGGTAGATCTATTGTAAAATCTCTGTATTTCAAGTTTATAATGGCATTCTCTGTCATTTTTATAAAGTTGTAAGTAAATTTCTGTAACGCTAGATCTGATAGAAAATGTAAAAAGAATTTTCATGGATATATATTGACAATTTTCACTTCAAAAATATTTCTAGGCATCATTCCTAGTTAGAATTAGTATCTATTTTTCTTAATTTATACTTAAAGGATCATTTAGATTAGTTTTTTTTTGACAGGCAGAGTGGACAGTGAGAGAGAGAAACAGACAGAGAGAAAGGTCTTCCTTTGCCATTGGTTCACCTTCCAATGGCTGCCACAGCTGGCGCGCTGCGGCCGGTGCACCGCACTGATCTGAAGCCAGGAGCCAGGTGCTTCTCCTGGTCTCCCATGTGGGTGCAGGGCCCAAGGACCTGGGCCATCCTCCACTGCCTTCCTGGGCCACAGCAGAGAGCTGGCCTGGAAGAGGAACAACTGGGACAGAATCTGGTGCCCCAACCAGGACTAGAACCCAGGGTGCCGGTGCCGCAGGCGGAAGATTAGCCTATTGAGCCAAGGTGCCGGCTAGATTAGATTTCAAAGATCACATGATAATGCATATTTATAAGTTTACTCACAACATTATTTGTAATTACAAAATATTGAAGACATGAATGTTCAAACATGGGAAATTGGTTGCATAAGGGAATGCATGTATTGCAAATTATGCTATGATATATTCTGTGGTAAACAAGGTGGAATAAGCATCTGTACCTAGAGTTGTGAAAGGAATTAAAATGGTTGCTATAAACTTACTTTAAGGAATTTCAATAAGACAACATTAAATGGGGAAAAAATCCAGAAGGGAGAAAGTTGTGCACTGCCTCTTAGATAAGTATGAAGGGAAAATAAGAAAAAAGAGATAAAATGAGATGGATATTTATCTTTACAAAAAGAAAAATGGATGCAGTATCAGAAAACAACGTATTGGGTTACCTACAAGATGAAAGGAGTGAAATGAGGAAGTAATGATCCTCCACTAGGGACACCTACATATCTATTTTTCACTTTTGGAATTGGGTTCATGTTCTACGTGATAAAATAAAATTGAATCACAAAAGATAAGAAGGGGAGGCTAACACTAAAAGCAAAGTTAAATAAATGAAGCTACTGAAGGAAATAAAGAACTAATGCAAGTAACTCACCAAAATAGAATATCTGACATACTGAGTACCTTCATTCAGTGTGTGGAAGAGAGACTAAATGAATGACACATTATTTTCAGTAGAAGTATTGCTAAGCAACCCTAAAACAGTTACAGAAGTATAATTAGATGAGCAAATAAGTGAGCTCTGAATTAATTGGAGTTATATACCTGTGAAGATGAAGGAAGGCAAGACAGCCCAGAGTGAATGGACTGGAATCAAAGGTAGCCAGTACTCATCATGAATTCTGAATAGGCCTCCCAATGTATAACATGTGTTTGCATATTTATAGGTATTTAGGCATATTTGTGTGAAGGTATTTGTATATGTCAACCTACAGGCATGTAGGTATGTGTATGTCTGTGAATTTATATGGCTTTGTGAATGCAAAGGCATATAGATGTATGTACCTGAATGTGCCTCTGAACATACGAGCTTGTTGGAATATGTGAATGTTTATATGGATGTAAATACACTGCTGAGTTCAACTCCAGGTCAGAATTCTTACGTGATTTTCCAGGTCCCAACACAAACAATTTCAAGGGCATGGGCAGGCAGTTTTCACAGAGAAGTGATTCCCAACCCATGAGAGACCTGTCGCATAATAAGTACAATCCAGGCACTGGAGATGCTGTGGTCTTGGATTCAGCCCAGCCTCCTCCCAACCACCAGGCCAACCATGCTCATGGGCACTCTTAGTCACTCTCCTTCAAGTAGGGGCTTCTTGAGAGGAGAGGATGGGATTCACAGACACTCTGTGCTGTTGAAGCACTGCTAATGCTTAGACCACCCAATGACTGGAAGAGCTTTCAAAACACTTTCCCCAACTTTGACTACATATCCAGGAATTTTCCAGTCTTACTTCAGTCTCCCATAGAAGCAGGATCTGTATAACAGAAAAATATTTCCTTAAAGCCTACTTCAACTGTGCTGCAACCCTTCGCCACATTGACAACCCTGAATATTTCGAACTAATGCAGCTGAGACATAAGAGCTATTGTTCAAAGAGAAACACTGGAGAGGCAAGGGTCTTTGCTAGTTAAACTCTTGTTTGTGCACTGTGGCAGGAAGTGAACAGAGGTTCATGCAGACTTGGGCTGGTACACTAAGGAGGAAGTGACCAGAGGCTCACATAGACTTGCACTGGTACAGTACAGCAGGAAGTGAACATGGGCTCTAGTAGACATCTGCTTGTGTGCTGTAGCAGGAATTGAGCAAAATCTCAGGTATACTTTTGTGTGCGATGGCTGGAAATGAACAATGTCTCATGTGGAATCCTGTTTTGGCTTTATAAAAAGATTGAATATATGATCCATTGTTACACTCTGTTTTGCTTAATTGATCAATTCAAAAATTGCCATCTCTCTCCTAGAAATTAGCACAGCAAGCAAGGTCAATGAAGCTCAACAGATAGAAACTGCAAAATTCTATAACATGGAACAGCAAACACTGCCAAGCAATAATTAATAACTAGCAGCAATAATTACTGACTAGCAATGAAAACAATGGAAAAGCGGAAGCCAAGTCCTTACTCCTGATAAAAGGCATTGGCAATGAGACCATGCATGGGTTCCCAGAAGTAGGGTCTGAAGGGCGTAGATTAACGGGCTCTCTACTAAGGGGTCACAGGCTAAGGGTGGGCCAGAGGATGCCCCAAGACTGCTGAACTAGGTCCACATGGTGACAGTTCCTAGGTTTCACACAGGTTTTCCTTCTCAGCTCTTGGCATTGAATCTGGGCATGAATCTGATATCCAGAATTGTCTAATTTCATAAAGTAACAGACTGCACACTTGGTCATGTCCTTACATCCCTGTAGAATATATGAAGACCTGTGCTAAACTCAGAGTTTAATGAAGAGATGGGACGGGTTCACATTTCTTGGGCCTTTCTGTTGCTGGTACTATGTGATCATGATCTCCACAGCCCCTGACACCAGGATGACAGGGAAATACACAATGTTCACTGCTTGTGGCTCTGGGGTCATCACCTGGGATGCTTAGCCAGATCCAACTATAGATGTGTCCCTCTGGACACCAGAAACTTGCCATGTTGTAGGGTTAATAGTGTAGATGAGCTGCTTATGTAAACTTTGATTCATGTTATCTCCTTTGGCTTGATAGATCTGCTGCAGGTAGGGCTACTTGGTTAGTTGTGAGGAAGACGGAACATATCCAAGTGTATCTGTCACCCTTAACACCTCCTCAACAAAGAAAAAAGAAGTTACTCAACTAGGCACTAGGCAAAGCTTTCCATGAGATGGTTTAACTGTCCAATAGCTCAATAAACCTCTGCTGACAGCCTCATATGCACAGACTATTGATATGTCCAGCTCACTGTGGTAGCCTAGTGCCCACAACCATGGTACCTAACAGTGTGACTTTCTTGCAGGGTGTTCTCAAACTGAGAGAGCATGAAGTGCAGCAACTGGAATCACAGCACCCCTTTCAGCACCCTTTTGTAGAAGATAGTCATCATCGGAATATCTTTCTTTGGAATGGTGTGTCACACATCACTAACACACTTCTACAAGCACACCAAAGTTCCTAAATCTCGGTTGTCAATATGAAGGAAGGAATACGATAGGAAGAAGTCACACTCTTGAAGGGTGCCCTAGATTTCCACTCCATCAATGACATGGTCTCGGTAAACAAAGACCAGATGCCCCACCGACTGATGTATGGCATCTCAGCTGAGCCCTTATTACACACAAGGCAAAGCGATGTAGTGTCCTCATAAAATCTTGGTCATAATCTTAAGAGGCATAATGTTTCACTACAGAGAAGATGGCCAAGTATTAGCTTTCTGCTCCAACAATCAAAAAGGAGACCCAGCAGTTGCTGGGACAATGCAAAACCTTTCATTCCCAAACTTCTTACCTGGGAACCTGGCTGGCAGCACTCTATGGAACTATCTACCAGAAAGGTAATTTCTATTGAAGGGTGTCGAGACCAAGAAGGTGCTTTGGATGCTAGGCACCAACTGCCACACCACCAAGTTACGGATCTCAGCAACATTTTTGTTTACTGATTGGAGGTCAGAGCAGAAGGTCACTACAATAGGACAGAGGTGTCCATTGGGTTTTTGAATCTATAGGAGTCAACTGAAAGGTACACACCCTCTATACATCAAGTACTGGCCTGTTATAGGGCCTGCTAGTGTATTAAGTGCCTATCCCATGGCTGTGAAATAACGAGAGGACCAGACCAGAAATATCAACCAAAGGGAATAAATATCTTTGCTTTTGTTGTCTGGTTGTCTTAGACTACTCATCCTAAGTTCAAAATGCTAATTTTCTAGAACATACATGCTCAAATAAATGTCCATGAACCACAGACAATGATAATGACCTTCTGATGAGTTTAAGTAACCATATGTAGAAATATTGTACTTACTGGACAGTCTCTCCCCCTTAGAAATGCTTTTCTTTTTCACTCTCATTTCTGTTTGTGCATCTTGATGTTCAGGCTGCTCAGGTACAGTATTTTCATCCTGTTCCTCATAAACTATGCAAAGAAATGTATTTATAGCAGTAAACAGAAAAGCAAATCTGCTGTGAAATCCCTAAGTTCCAAATTTACAAGTTGATGGGCAGCATTTTCTCTCAAAAGTTATATATAAATTACTATAACTTGATATCTGACACAAAAAACAGTAATAAGAATTGTAATGGGTAAGTAGTGAAGTTATCTCCCTAATTCATTGCCTTAATTTTCTTCTAATTATCTTGCTGCTACTAATATATTATCTAATTAAATAATTAATAATTATCTAGTTAATTGCTTTCTAATCGTGTGTTACTTTATATTAAGTTTATATATATTAATGGAACAAATGATAAAAATTTATACATACAAGGTTATTATTAGAGCTTTATTTGTAATTGCAAAATATTCAAAACCATATATACCATCAAGCATGGAGAACTGGTTAAATAAGATATACACTCTAAACGATGCTATAATTTATAATCTGGTAAACAATGTGATAAAGATTTAGCTAAGAGGATTTAAGGAAATTACTAGTATATAGTGTGAAATCTGAAAAATATCTAAATAAATTGTATGCAACTTTCTGATTAAGAAAAAAGGGAAAATAAGAACAAGATAAACAGACAGTCATGCCTTTATAAAAGAAAACCCACTAAAGATATCAAATATAGAATCAACCAAGGTATTCATCATCAGATGAATGGATAGATAAAATTACATATAACTGTATATAAATAATATAAATACATACAATTGAATTTTATTCAGACATAAAAAGACTGAAATTCTATCATATGCATAAAAATGATTATAACTGTAGGGCATCATGTTGCTTGAAATAAGCTGGACACAGAAAGACAAATATTGTATGTTGTCTTTTATATGTGGAAACTAAAAATTTTAAAAATAAAGAATCACCTGCATATATCAGTTTTGCTGCAAATACAGTGTTTTGACAAACTTTGCTTGAAATGTTGTCAAACAAATTGTTAAGAATAATATACTATAGTTTTAATGTTCTGTGGTATTATAAAATTTACTGTATATGAGTGAAGTTGAACATCTTTTCATTGGATTATTATTTATAGACCTTGCCTATATTCCTGCTGTACTATGGCCTTTTTACTTTTTATTTGTTGTTTCTTTATTTAGTAGAGAAGTAAGCCTTTGACTATAGTATAAATTAAGAATATTTTATCTCAAAAATAATAAATATTAAGTTGAAAAATATATAGAAGGTTAGCTACAAGATGAGGAGGAAATACTGGGGGAGGAACATGTAGAGGTCTAACTAGGTAAGTCTTTAAAACATTTTACTATTAGAAGTAGGTTAATGTTCCACATATTAGAATGTTAGAAGAATGAAACAAAAAATTGAAGTGGAAAAGAACCTTAAGGAATTGGATCCACGGAGGGAAAACTGAAAAGTATTAATCCAGGTCACTCATCAGTGCAGCATCTGACATGAGCTCTCAATCCAATGGGAGCACAGGGCAGACGGTAAATAAATCACAGAAAAATGGTCCATACTAAGCAATTCTGATGTGACTTGGGAAATGTTATGGGGCCAAGCAAATGAATACATGGGTAGATGTGATTCAGAGGTCCACCCTTGATAAAATTACTTCCTTGCACACACAAGGAATGGAGGAAACTAAGGAGGCTAGGGGTAGACTAGAAGTGACGGTGTCTGTGGGAACTCAGGATTTCTAAATGCGTAATGCACATGCATGCGTGAGTGCATGTTTACGAATGTGTATGTGCATGCATAGGAGCCCAACTCCAAATTAATAACTTTGTTTCATCTTTCAGGCCGAATGATAGACAGTTATACATCATCTACCTAGAGGGTCTAATGAGGGGGAATCCCCACCTCACACAAACTTGATGCCTCCCTGGAAAACTGCACATACTGGCATAACTGCACCTGAGGGCTGCGGCCCCTCCATAATGTGCTCCCATACCTTTTGATGCCTGCCTGTGTACCTCCACAAAAGGCCTCCTCATGAAAAGGGGCGGGGGCTCTCAACTGATACACTGTGCTTCTCAGTGCCTCAGCCTAGACACTTCACGGGGGGAGCTTGAATATGCTTTGCTCAGTTCCTTCTAGGTATTTAAGACTTCCACGTTCCTAGCAATCTCACATCAATAACTACAAGGTGCTTGGGTTCATAAAAGGGCAAAGTCTTTTCTATCAACTTATCTTGCTACATGAAAAAAACTGATAAGGAGTCATTATTATGTGGTGGTGCAGGTAAAGCCACAACCTGCGATGCTGGCATCCCATATGGGCACCAGTTTGTGTCCTGGTTGACACACTTCCCAACCAGCTCCCTGCTAGTAGCCCGGGAAATCAGTAGAACATGGCCCAAATGTTTGGACCCCTGCACTCAGGTGGGAGATCCAGATCAAGCTCTTGGCTTGAAGTTTAGGCCTGGCCCAGCCTTGGCCTTTCAGGCCATCTGGGGGTGAGCTAACAGATGGAAGATACCCTCCCTCCTTGTCTCTCTCCCTCCCTCCCCTGCCTTCCTCTTTCCTTCTCTGTGTGTGTCTATCTTTCCATAACTGATTTTCAAAATAAATAAATCTTATAAAATCATGACATAAGGTGTTCTAGTTAATAAAAACTAGAAAAATCACATTTTCATCCTTCATTAAAGTAACAGATATATAGGCCTTAAGCTTCAATGTCTGCCAATATTAAAAAAAGAAAAAAAATTTCTACATTTTTCCCTGAAAGTCCCACCATCTACAGTAATCCTGACAAATGGTCCACCTCGAGTCTGAGCAGGCCTCTGGATCCAGCTGCAGAAAACAGAGTGACACCAGAAAACAGCACCAAAATCAGGCACTCAGGAAAATCGTGACTGTTAGAAATTCTATTTGGCAACTTACTTGAGTTCTGAAGGTTAGAAAGGGAAAAAAGAGAAGAGACTTAAGAGATACAGAATTTAAAAAAAATAATTAAAAAAATGTAAACTATGCCGACTATAAAAGCACATTTGAGGGGCTGGCGCTGTGGCGCAGAAATTGAAGCCCTGACCTAAAGCATTGGCATCCCATATGGGCACTGCTTCTAGTCCAGGCTGATCCTCTTCTGATCCAGCTCTCTGCTATGGCCTGGAATAGCAGAAGATGGCCCAAGTCCTTGGGCCCCTGCACCCATGTGGGAGACCCAGAAGAAGCTCCTGGCTTCGGATCGGCACAGCTCTAGCCAATGCAGCCATCTGGAGAGTGAACCAGCGGATGGAAGACCTCTCTCTCTCTGTCTCTACCTCTCTCTATAACTATATTTCAAGTAAATAAAATAAATCTTTAAAAAAAAAAGCACATTTGTGTGATATACCTAGAATAATAACATAAACAAATTTAAGAGTGGTGACTTTTGTAGAAGGTAAAGGGCTATGACTAACATAGGGCAGGATGACTTCTGGGATGACTTGGGGAAGGCAGGGCTCTGACTAGGAATAGGTGAAGAACTTTGGGATGACTTTGGAGTAAGGCAGGGCTACAACCAGGGTAGAGCAGAGGGGCTTCTGGGATGACTATAAAACTGCTTCCTGATTTGGACAAGATCAACTCTGGCAGTTACTTCCAATAGTTTTCAGAATCTGAATGATTTTTAAGCAAAAAAAAAGGGGGGGATTGTATTTCATTTCATTAGGAATTTGTAAAATTGTCTGTCTAGTACCATTTTGGAATACAATGTCAAGTTGTCCTGTCTCCCTTAATTGTCAAACTAATCCTTTGAAGTATATAATATTATTCTCTCATCTACACATGAGAATACTGAGATTGTTAATCTAAACAGCTATTTGATTAGTAATTGGTTGAGTTTGGAATCATCTGACAGTTCAGTTCCAGAGACTGAACTTTTTATAATGAGTAAAAAATACAAAAAAAGATATAAATTATTAGATGATATCTTATATATCTTTGTTCCTTAAATTACTAAAATTTAGATTAATTTGATAATGGTCTAACAAATTATAAATTACCAAAATCAACTCACTAAGACACAGAAAAGTAGAATAGATTAATATATACAGAGGAACAAATAAAAATCTACTACTGGGGTCTGGTACTGTGGTGTTATAGACTAAGCCTCTGCCTGTGGTGCCAGCATCCCATATGGGTGCTGGTTTGAGTGCCGGTTACTCCACTTCTGATCCAGCTTCCTGCTAATGTGCCTGGGAAAGCCGTGGAAGATGGTCTAAGGGTTTTGGCCCCTGCTCCTAGGTGGGAGACCTGGAAGAAGCTCCTGGCTCTTGTCTTCAGATACGTTCAGCTCTGGGCCATTTGGCGAGTGAACCAGTGGATGGAAGACCATTCTCTTTGTCTCTTCTTCTCTTTATCTGTAACTCTACCTCTCAAATAAATAAATAAACCTTTAAAAAATCTACCTCTAAAATGTTGTTAGGTCAAAGACTTTTAATGACAATTTCAATAAAATCATAAAATGTTGCAGAGTTTCTGTTATTCAAACTACTGAGAGACGAATTTTTTTATTTCAATTTACAATACTAATATCCTATGTGCAAACACTAAAAGACAGAACAAAAATATGGATTAGTAATGTAAGTAATGTATATCTATTAATGTTACCAGTTAGGAAAGGCTATAGTATGCTGTAGGCGTAAACAACAGTAAAATCTCAGTGTCTCAAATGTAAAAATCTCTTTTCTGCCTCTGCATTTATGTTCACCTAGTGGTTCTGCTCCCTGTCCTCATTCTAGAGCCAGGGTAAAAGGAACTCTGCTGTCTATAGCACACCTTACCAGAGCAGCAAAGCAAACTAGAGAATGGGGACTCTAATGCTACACTGGCTCCTAATGCTCTGAACACTACTGCTACTCACAAATCACTGGCCTGGAAATCGCAAGGTTGTGTTCAGTTTGAGAAGTCAGGAAGAAAACATCAGTAAGAAGGCACACAACAACATTTCATGTACAGAATGTGAAGTTGACGAGATTGATGAAACACTTGAAAAGGAATTCAAAAGAATGATCACAAGATTACTCAAATACCACAGAAAAGCAAATAAATGAGTTAAAGAAATTCATACATGACTTAGATGAGAAATTCTGATGAGAGCTAGAGATACTGAAGAGAAAGCAATTGTAACAGTGGAAATGAAGGATTCAATATGTCAAATAAAAATACAGTGGAAAGCCTTAATAACAGACTTAGTAAGACAGAAGAAAGAATATCCAAGCTAGAAGACAAACCTTTGGAAATATTTCAAACTTTCAAAAATCAAAGAAAAAATTAGAAAAACAAACTAGTTTTCAAGATTTATGGGATACTATCAAGCAAACAAACATGCATGTCTTATGAGTTCCTGAAGGTATGGAATGGATTGGAAATGAATTAGGAACAGAATGGATTAGAAAACTTATTCAGTGAAATAACAGGAGAAAACTTCCCTAATTTGAGAAAGGACATCCAAATATAGGAAGCACACAGAACTCCTATAGACATGATTAGAAAAGATCTTTACCACAACACACTGTAGTCTTTCAAAAGCTAAAATGTACAGAAAAAATCCTAAAATGTAGATGAGACAAATGCCAGATTATATTCAGAGGATCTCTAATAGTTTGACAGTTGAATTCTCATATAGGTCAGGAGAGAATGGAGAGCTACAGCCCAAGTCCTAAAAGAAAAAAAATTCAACCCAGAATACAGTACACAGTGAAGCTTTCATTTATAAATGAAGGTGAAATAAAGACCTTCCATAAAAAACAGAAATTGAAAGAATCTGTCACCACTCATCCAGCCTTATCAATGATTCTTAAGGATGTGCTATAAACAGAAACACTGTCAGCATCATGAAAGAATGTGAAGGCAGAAAATCTAGTAAAACTACAAGGAAAAGCTAAAACAAATAATAGGAGTACTTATGGAAAAGTGGCAGGACCAAATAATTACTTATTAATAATAATCTTAAATGTAAATGGCCTAGGAGCCGGTGCTGTGGCGCAGTGAGTTAACACCCTGGCCTAAAGTGCCGGCATCTCATATGGGCACCAGTTCTAGTTCCAGCTGCTCCTCTTCCAATCCAGCTTTCTGTTATGGCCTGGGAAAATAGTAGAAGATGGCTCAAGTCCTTGGGCCCCTGCACCCAAGTGGGAGACCTGGAAGAAGCTCCTGGCTTCGGATTGGCACAGCTCTGGCCGTTGTGGCCATCAGGGAGGAGAATCAGCAGCTGGAAGACCTCTCTCTCTGTCTCTACCTCTCTCTGTAACTCTGTCTTTCAAATAAATAAAATATTAATAATGTAAATGGCCTAAATTCTCCAATTAAAAGACCAAAGATTCACACAATTATTCTTAGGTGTTTAAATTTTAACTGAAAAATGATCCCTGTTAAATATAAGAGTAGGAATAAGAGAGGGAGGAGATGTACAATTTGGGACATGCTCAAGCTGACTTGCCCCAAATGGTGGAGTTAGAATCATGCCAGGGGATCCCAATTCAATCCCATCAAGGTGGCATGTACCAGAGCCATCTCACTAGTCCAAGTAATCAATTTCAGTTCACAATTGATCACACTGATAGGTCTAAGAGTCAAAGGGATCACACAAACAAGTCTAGTGTCTGCTAATACTAACTGATAGAATAAATAAAGGGAGAGAATGATCCAAGATGGGAAGCAGGATACACAGCAGACTCATAGAATGGCAGATGTCCTAAACAGCACTCTGGCCTCAGAATCATCCCTTAAGTCATGTGGATCCGGCTGAAAAGCCCATGAGAGTATTTCAAGCTTGGAAAGCCAAGACACCCTGGGGGAAAAAAAGGAAGACCTAAATGGAAGATCTCTGCGAGTGAGATCCCAGTGGAAAGAACAGGGCCAAAGAAGGAGGTACCTTTCTCTGAAGGGAGGAGAGAACCTCCACTTTGACTATGACCCTGTCGGAATAAGATCAAAGTCGGCGAACCCAAAAGGCTTCCATAGCCTTGGCAACTCATGACTAGAGCCTAGGGAGATTACTGACGCCATAAACAAGAGTGTCAAATTGTTAAGTCAACAACAGGAGTCACTGTGCACTTACTCCTCATGTAGGATCTCTGTCCTTAGTGTGTTGTCCAATGTGAAGTAATGCTATAACTAGTACTCAAACAGTATGTTACACTTTGTGTTTCTGTGTGGGTGCAAACTGATGAAATCTTTACTTAATATATACTGAATTGATCTTCGGTATATAAAGATAATTGAAAATGAATCTTGATGTGAATGGGGTAGGAGAGGGAGCGGTAGATGGGAGGGGTGTGAGTGGGAGGGAAATTATGGGGGGGGAAGCCATTGTAATCCATAAGCTGTACTTTGAAAATTTATATTTACTAAATAAAAAATTTTAAAAAACATGCTGAGGTGTGAAATAAAAAAAAAAAAACAAAACAAAACAAAACAAAGACTCTGGATTAAAAAGCAAGATCCAACTGTTTGTTGATTAGAAGAAACATACCATCACAACAAAGATACATGAAGACTGAAAGTGAAAGGATGGAAAAGGGTATTCCATGCTAATGGAAAGCAAAATAAAAGCAAAATAGGCTATGCTAGTATCAGACAAAAGAGAGTTCATGACAAACATTTTTGAAAGAGACAAAGAAGGGCATTCTGTAATGATGGGATCAATTCAACAGGACGATGTAACTATAGTAGATACATATGCACATATGCTCAGAGCCCCTGGATATTTAAAACAAATGTTAATGGATCTAAAAGGAGACATAGATTACAATGTAATAGTAATGAGGGACTTCAACACACCCCACTTTCATCAATGGACAACTCAACTAAACAAAAAATTATAAAAGAAACAACAGAGCTGATAGACATTATGGACCAAATCAACCTAATTGATATCTACAGAACATTTCATCCCACAGCTGCAGAATACACATTCTTTTCATCAGTGCATGGAATGCTCCTTAGGATAGACAATAAGCCCTTGTCCTGTCGATGAACAACTTAATACTTTATCCCTTTCAGTACTTTTGTTCTAGTAATACCATTGGTTGAACTCTTTAATTAATTATTATTTAATTAATTGTAATTAATAATTACAATTATTCTTAGGTGTTTAAATTTAACTGAAAAGTGATTCCTGTTAAATATAAGAGTAGGAATAAGAGAGGGAGGAGATGTACAGTTTGGCACATGCTCAATTGGACTTACCCCTAATGGTAGAGCTAGAAACGTGCCAGGGGATTCCAATTCAATCCCATCAAGGTGGCATGTACCAATGCCATCTCACTAGTCCAAGTGATCAGTTTCAGTTCATAAGTGATCAAAAAGATAGCATTAAGTATCAAAGGTATTACATAAATAAGACCAGTGTCTGCAAATAATAATTCATAGAATTAAAAAGGAGAGAATGATACTACATGAGAGGTAGGATACACAGCAGACTCATAGAATGGAAGATGTCCTTAACAGCACCCTGGCCTCAGAATCAGCTCTTAAGGCATTCGGATCTGGCAAAAAAGCCCATGAGAGTATTTCAGGCTTGGAAAGCCAAGACACTCTGGCAAAAAATTGACCTAGATGAAAGCTCTCTGTGAGTGAGATCCCAGCTGAAAGAATGGGCTATCAAAGAAGGAGGTATCTTTCTCTGAAGGGAGGAGAGAACTTCCACTTTGACTATGGCCTTGTCTAAATAAATTCAGAGTTTGTGAACTCAAGAGACTTCTGTAGCCTTGGCAGCTCATGACAAGAGCCTTAGGTGATTACTGACGTCATAAATAAGAGTGTCAATTGTTAAACCAACAATGGGAATCACTGTGCACTTACTCCCCATGTAGGATCTCTGTCCTTAATGTGTTGTATTATGCGAATTAACAGTAAAACTACTACTCCAACAGTACTGTATACTTTGTGTGTCTGTGTGGGTGCAGTCTGTTGAAATCTTTACTTAGTATACACTAAGTTGATCTTCCGTATATAAGGATAATTAAAAATGAATCTTGATGAAGAATGGGATGGGAGAGGGAGTGGGAGATGGGATGATTTCGGGCGGGAGGGAATTTATTGGGGGAAGAGCCACTGTAATTCAAAAGTTGTACTTTGGAAATTTATATTTAATAAATAAAAGTTGAAAAAAATAATCAATAGCCTTTGTATACACAAACAATGCCATGGTTGAGAATGAAGTTGTAAAAATTATAAAAATGGTAGAATCACTTCTATACCTTATTCAATTTAGTACGGGATATATTAGCAAAAGCAATTATGGAGAAGAAAAAGAGTATTGAAATTGGAATGGATGAAGTCAAAATACCCATGTTTGCAGACAACATGATGCCATACATGGAAAAACCTGAGCACTCCACTGAAAAGCTATCCAAACTTATAAACTAACCCAGTGAATTTGTAGGTTATGAAATCAACATACAAAAGTGGTAGCATTTTTATACACCAGTAATATACTAGGTGATAGAGAGATCAAGACAGAAATACCATTCAGAAAGTGAAAGACTTCTACAGTAAAAATTATAAAACATCAATGAAAGAAATCAGCAAAGACACCCAAAAAATGAAAGATATTCCTCCATAAAATAATTAACTTTAAATTTATAGGTAAGTTAATAGCATAATGTGAAAATATAACAAAAACAAAACTTGACACAATATAAGATGAAACAGAAATTCATAATACCGAAATTTTTAAGTCTAACTAAGTAATTATTGAACACCCCCCAAAATCAATAAATATTAGAACTATAAAGAAAATAATTACACAATAAACACAAATAGCTGTAGACATTCTCGTGACTTGTGGAACAAAGTCCTGCTATCTTTACTCAAAAACATATAATTTTGAAATAATTACTTACTCTCATCTATGAGGCTCTCAGCTTCAGATTCTCTCCTTGAAACCAGATACATGTCTTCAGGTGATGTTGGGTTTAAAAGAAATGCTAAACAGAAAAATAGATCTATGATGAGACTTCTGGATACACCAAATAGTCAGAATATTTTCCTCTCATTTGTGTAAAATTAAATGCTAAGGACTTTAAAGCTATGTCCCTGGTACTTTTATCAAACATCACTTAGCTGCATTTACGTGCGCTAATTTCTGGGCTCTCCATTCTGTTCCATTGATCTCAGTGCTGTTTTTGATGCCACTATCATGATGTTTTTATGCCATTATTATACTGTCGTAGCATGCTTAGAAATCAGTTACTGGGATGCCTCCAGCTTGAATTTTTGCTCAAAGATTGCTTTGGCCATACTGGGTCTTTTGTGATTGTACATAAAGTTTAGGACTGTTATTTTCTAATTCTGTAAAGAATATCATTGGCATTTTGATAGGGATTGCATTGAATCTATAGATTGCTTTAGGCAACATGCACATTTTAAACATATTAATTCTTCAAATCATGAGAATGAGTATCTTTCCATTTATTGTACCCTTGGTTTCTTTCAAAAATGTCATAATTTCTACTATAGAGATCTTTCATTTCTTTGATTAAATTTAGTCATAAATATTTTATTGCTTTGTAGCTATTGTGAATGGAATTTGACTTGATTTCTCTTTCAGTGAGATCATTATTGGTTATATAAAAATGTCATTTTTTGTATGTTGATTTTGTAACCTAGATTTTACTAAATTGGTTTATCATTGCTAACATCTTTTTGGCAGAGTATTCAGGTTTATCCATGTACATTGTCATGTCATCTACAAACATGAATATTTTGAATTCTTCCTTTCCAATATTTTTAAAAGATTTACTTACTTACTTACTTGAAAGATGGCGTTACAGAGGAAGAGAGAGAGAGAGAGATCGATCTTCTATCCACTGGTTGACTCCCAGCCACAGTGGCCAGGGCTGGGCCAAACAAAAACCAGGAGCCAAGAACTTCATCTTGGCTGACGTAGGTGACAGGGCCCAGACGTTTGCTTCATCTTCTGCTGCTTTTCTTGGATCATTATCAGAGACTGGATCAGAAGTGGAGCAGCTGGGACACGAACTAATACCCATATGGGATGCCAGTATTGCAAGCAGCTGCTACACCTGTTATTACAATTCTGATGCCCTTATTTCTCCTAATTGTTCTTACTAAAGCACCAATACTATATTGAATAAGAGTAGTGAGTATGGACATACTTGTCTTCTTCCAGATCTGAGGAGAAATGCTTTTCACTTTTCCCATAAGGTATGATACTGGCTACTGGTGTCATATATAGGTTTTATAATTTTGAGGTATGTGTCTTCTAAACCTAATTAGTTGAGGGTTTTTAACATGAATGGATCTTAAATTTCTTCAAATATTCCACATCTATTGACATGTTCATATTGTTTCTATACATTTTGTTGGTGCAATTTATATTTTTTTATTGATTTCCAAATGTTGAACCACCCTTGCATTTCGTGGTGGTAGATCTTTTTTATGAAGGACAGGCAGAGTGGATAGTGAGAGAGAGAGAGAGACAGAGAGAAAGGTCTTCCTTTTTGCCGTTGGTTCACCCTCCAATGGCCACCACGGCTGGCACGCTGCGGCCAGCGCATCGCGCTGATCCAATGGCAGGAGCCAGGTGCTTCTCCTGGTCTCCCATGGGGTGCAGGGCCCAAGGACCTGGGCCATCCTCCACTGCACTCTCGGGCCATAGCAGAGAGCTGGCCTGGAAGAGGGGCAACCGGGACAGAATCCGGCGCTCCGAACCGGGACTAGAACCTGGTGAGCCGGCGCCGCAAGGTGGAGGATTAGCCTATTGAGCTGCGGCGCCGGCCAACCCTTGCATTGCTGGACCAAATCCCACTTGATCATAATGAATTTTTTAATGTAGTCTTAGATTTGGTTTGCTAATGTTTTGTTGAGAGATTTTACATCCATGTTCAGCAAGAATATTAGTACGTCATTCTCTTTTTTAAAAAGATTTATTTATTTATTTGAAAGGCAGAGTTATACAGAGAGAAGGAGGGACAGAGAGAAAGAGATGTTCCATCTGCTGGTTCAGTCCCCAAATGGCCACAATAGCTGGGACTGGGCCAGGCCAAAGCCAAGAGGCATGAGCTTTTCTCTGGGTCTCCCATGTGGGTCCAGCAGCCCAAAGACTTGGGCCATCTACTGCTTCTTTCCAAAGTACATTTGCAGGGAGCTTGGAGCAGCTAGGATTCAAACTGGTGCCCACATGGGATGCCAGCCCTGAAGGCAGCGGTTTCACCCACTGTGTCACTTCACCAGCCCCTGTCATTTTCTTTTTGTGTTGTGTCTTTGGTTTTGGTATTAGAGTGATGCTTTCTTTATGAAGAGTTTGAAAGTATTTTAACCTTTTCACTATTTTGAAATAGTCTTAAGAGTATTACAGTTAATACAGCTTTAAATATGTTGTCGAATTAAGCTAAAAAACCATCAATTCCTGAACTTTTCTTTGATGGGAGACTTTTAACTATGGTTTCAATATTATTGCTTGCTATGGGTCTGTTTAAATTTTCTATTATCTTCTCTCATTTTAAAAAATATTTATTTATTTATTTATTTATTTTTATTTGAAGAGCAGAGTGGAGAGGGAAAGGGAGGGGGGTGAGAGGAAGAGAGTGAGCTTCCATCCACTGGTTCACTCCTCAGATGGCCGGAATGGCTGGTTCTGTGCCAGGCTGAAGCCAAGAACCTGGAGCTTCCTCTGTGTCTCCCATGTGGGTGCAGGGGCCCAAGCATCTGTGACATCTGTTACTGCTTTCCTAGGTGCATTAGCAGGAAGCTTGGCCAGAAGCAGAGTAGCTGGTCTCCAAATGGCACTCCTATGGGATGCCAGCATTGCAGGCCGTGGCTTTGCCCACCATGCCACAAAGCTGGCCTGATTTCATCTTGGTCAGTTATTGTGTCTAGTAATTTACCCATTTATTTGAGGTTTTCCAATCTGTTGATCACAGTAGTTTCTTGTGGTCTTTTTCATTTCTGTCGTCTCCATTTTCATCTCCAATCTTATTCATTAGAGTGTTTACCTTTTCATTTTCTTGATCCTCTGTAGTTTTCTAGTTTCATTTTTGTTTATTTCTGTTATGATTTTTATCATTTCAAGCCTTCTGTTAATTTGGGGTTTAGTCTGTTCTTGTTTTTCTAAGTCCTTATTTTCATCATTAGATTATTTTAAATCTTCCTATTTTTTAATGTAAGCACTTACTATTATAAACTTCTCTTAATACTTATTTTGCTGATTGCATAGATTTTTTCACTTGTTTCCAGTAAGTTTATTTTTAACTTCTTTTACAATTCATTGGTCATTCAATATCATGTTTCCTTCAGGTAGTCTCAGTTCTGGTTTAGAGAAAGAGAGAGAGAGAGAGAGTGTGTGTGTGTGTGTGTGTGTGTGAAGATGCCATTCCTCCAGGTGGGAAGCCAGGATAGGAGTACGAGGCAGGGGCATGCTTTGATCCTCTGTTTCTGCTAGTTTTAAGACTCTCCATGCGATTTGAAGATACTGTCACTTTTTCCCTAAAGCTTTTCCTCAATCTTCTGGAAGTGTGGTTCTTCCACCATTGCTCTAAAACTGGTTTTCTGGCTTTGGTGGATGCACACCCCCTCTATTCAGGCATCTTGACCCATTTTCTGAAGTGGGAAATTTCCATGAATTTTAGTTTTCACGAGGGTGTATGAAATTTTGTTACATAGTAGTCATTGAATATTCAAATACCAATCAAAACGTGTCAAGGCTTTCAATTTTGTTATCTAGTTATTTTAGGATATTCACATGTGTAAAAAATATGAAATTTCTATTTCTACTAAATAGATCTCAAATAAATCTTCAGGACCAAAGGAAAGAAGATCTTATAAGTTCTTAAAATAATTTAATGATATGTATAAATATTATACTTACCCTTTCGTCTATCCAATCTAATTATTCTTTTTTTCCCTTTTCGCATTTGAGCTTCTGATTCCAAAGATTTTTCCTCAGGTGTAAGATCTGTATCTGATATTTTATAAGGAGATAAACAAAGAAATAATTTGGTGTAGTAAACAGAAAAATAGGTCAAATTTGAAATTTAAGATAAGCATACAGCAACATTGTCTCATTTTTATAAGGCTACAAGTAAATAACAACAATGGTAGATTTAACATGAAAATTGTTAGGAAGGTTTTTTTAAAGATTTTATTTATCTGAGAGTTAGAGTTACGGGGGGGGGTGAGAGACAGAGAGAAAGGTCTCCCATCTGCTGGTTTATTTTCTAGATGGCCACAATGGCTGGCGATGGGGACCAGGCTCAATCTAGGAGCCAGGAGCTTTCTCTGAATCTCCCACACATGTGTGGGCCGGCATCGAGGCTCACTTGGTTAATCCTCCACATGCGGCACCGGCACCCCGGGTTCTAGTCCCAGTTGGGGCGCCGGGTACTAGTCCTGGTTGCTCCTCTTCCAGTTCAGCTCTCTACTGTGGCCCGAGAGGGCAGTGAAGGATGGCCCAGGTGCTTGGGTCCCTGCACCCACATGGGAGACCAGGAGGAAGCTCCTGGCTCCTGGCTTCAGATCAGTGCAGCACCGCCCGTAGCAGCCATTAGGAGAGTGAACCAACGGTAGGAAGACCTTTCTCTCTGTCTCTCTCTCACTGTCTATAACTCTACCTGTCAATTAAAAAAAGAAACCTTACAGTTTAGAAGACAGTGGCAAGATATAGTTCGAATCTTAGGAGAAAAAAATTGTCAACCAAAAATAATGTACCCTGCAAAGCTCTCATTTACAAATGAAGATGAAATAAAGACCTTCCATAACAAATAGAAATCAAAAGAATTTGTCACTTCTCCAGCCTCACAAAAGATGCTTAAGGATGTACTACACACAGAAATACAGAAATCAAGCCACTACCATGGAAGAATGTAAAGACAGAAAATCTCTCAGTAAAAGTGCAAACAAAATCCAAAGCAAATGATAGGAACATTTGCAGAAAAATGGCAGGGTCAAGTTGTTACTTATCAATAGTTAACATGAATATAAATGGCCTCAACTCTACAGTTAAAAGATACAGGCTGGCTGAATGTATTAAAAAGCAAGACCCATCTATTTGCTGTCTACAAGAAACACACTTCACCAACAAAGATACACATAGACAAAAAGTTAAAGGATGGAAAAAGATATTCCATGCTAATGAGGAAAAAAGGGCAGGTGAAGTCATCCAATTATCAGATAAAATAGACTTTAACATAAAAACTGTTAAAGACAAAGAAGGAAACTATATAGTGATTAAGGGATCAATACAATAGGAAGATGTAACAATAAATGTATATGCACCCAACTACAGGGCACCTGGCTATCTAAAAGCACTATTAACAGAACTAAAGGGAGAGATAGACTCCAGTACAATAGTAATGGTAGACTTCAACACTATACTTTCATCATTGAATATATCAACCAGACAGAAAAGCTACAAAAAAACAGAGCTAATCAACACTATTGACCAAATGGACCTAACTGATATCTGCAGAACTTTTCACCCCACTGTGGCAGAATACACATTCTTCTCATCAGTGCATGGAACTTTCTCTAGTATAGACTACATACTAAGCCATAAAGCATGTCTCAGCAAATTCAAAAAAATCAAAATCATACCATGCACGTTCTCTGATCACAATGGATTGAAGCTCAAAATAAAAAACTCAAGAATTTCAAGAACATAAGCAAATACATGGAGACTGAAAAATACACTCCTAAATGAACAGTGGGTCATAAAAGAAATCAAAAGACAAATAAAAAAATTTGGGGAAAGGAATGAAGATAATACCTCATACCAAAACTTATGGGATACAGCAAAAGCAGTGTTAAAAGAAAAGTTTATAGCAATTAGTGCCTATATCAAGAAACTGGAAAGGCACCAAATAAATAAGTTGTCAATACTTCTCAAGGACTTAGAAAAACAACAAAGCAAACCCCAAATTAGTAGGAGGAAAGAAGTAATTAAAATTAAGGAAAAGATCGATGAAATGAAGAGCTGTTTTTTGGAAAAAATAAACAAAATAGACAAGCCATAGGTCCATATGACCAAAAAAAGAGGGAGAAGACCAAAAATCAACAAAGTCAGAGATGAAAAAGGAAATGAAACAACAGACACCACAGAAATAAAAAGAATCACCAGGAATTACTACAAAGAACTGCATGCCAACAATTCAGGAAACCCAGAAGAAATGGATAGATTCCTAGACACATACAACCTACCTACACTGAATCATAAAGACAAGTAACAAACCCAAAACTAGTAGGAAAAAAGACATAATTCAAATTAGAGAAATCAACAAAATTGAATTAAAAAATTCCAAAAGAGCAACAGCTGTTTTTTTTTTTTTTGAAAAAATTAAAAAAAATTGACACAGCATTGGCCAAACTAACAAAAAGGAGAGAGAAGACCCAAATCAATAAAATTAGAGATGAAAAGGAATTGTGGCAACAGATACAACAGAAATAAAAAGAATCATGAGAAATTACAACAAAGAGCTGAATGCTAACAAACTGAGAAACACAGAAAAATGGATAGATTCCTGGACACATACGACCTACCTAAATTGAGCCATGAAGACATAGAAAATCTAAGCAGACCCAAAAACCAATACAGAAATTGAAACAATAATAAAGACTTCAAAACAAAAGAAGCCCAGGGCTGGATGGCTTCACTGTGGAACTCTACAAGACATTTAAAGAATAACTAACTCCAATTCTTCTCAAGCTATTCAAAACAATTGAAAGGAAGGGTGCCCTCCCAAATCTTTTCTATGAAGCCAACATCACCTTAATTCCTAAACCCAGAAAAGATACAACAGAGAAAGAGAACTACAGACCAATTTCCCTGTTAAACATAGATTAAAAAATCCTCGGGGAGCGGCAAGATGGTGGAATAGGAAGGGAGCACACTGATAGTCCAGGAGAGACAGTTTAATAAAAGTGGAGATACTGCAGGTTCAAGGAAGAGTAGGGGAAGAAACAGCAGAGGAAACTCTTCTGGAACTAGTGATTCACAGTGGACCTGCGTGGAGAGTGTGGGAGCCCACAGTTCAGGACACCAGCAGCAGACTCAACACACCATCACTGGAACGCGAGGTGAGCCAAATCTCAATAGCCCGAGACACCGGCAGGCAAGTGGAAAGAGGAGACTAGAGGGAATGACCTCGTGGGGAAAAGTTCACCAGGCTAACTAGAAGAGAGAAAGAGAGAAGAAAAAAAAAGTGACCAATATGGACACGAGTTTCTCTCTCTCCGCTCACCTCTCAAAGGCGAGCAAGACAAAGAGCAGGGGCCATCTTGGACATGAGTCTTAAGCAGGACGACCTCAGGTCTGCACCAGTCCTGAGCCTAGCAGAAAAACCTAACTCTGGTGGCGGGGTGTGTGTGTGTGTGTGTGTGTGTGTGAATTAACAGGAGATTAGGACCTAGTGAATGTCTGGTGCTACTGCACTGAGGCTGTGAAAAAAAGAGACGGTGGGGGAGAGAACTCCCGGAATTCACGTGAGTACTCTCCAGAGATGCTACAATTCGGTAACCTTGGCAACCCAGTGGGAGACTGCAGGAGAATTTGAGCCCACACTGAGGGCAGGACAGATTCCCTATGTGGTCCTTGGGAAAGAGCTTCTGATCTCTGGCTCCTGTGGGTATATCATTTGCCTGCTAACTACCTCCAATTCCATTCAGCTGTGCAGAATTACTTCCCTTTTGAATCAAAAAAAAAAAAAAAAGAAAGAAAGAAAGAGAGAGAGAGAGATTTACCACGCCTAACCTGAGAGTGTCACCTTTGGCACACCCTTAACCCTGAGGAACCAGAGCTCTCAGGCCACACCCATCTCAAGCCTCTAAGGCTCCATCAAAAACAGACAGTCCACTTAATCTAGAGTCATAGTATAAAAAGAAAAAACACCACAGTGAAGAAACCAAAGAATATCTCCAATATGCCAAACAACAAACGCAAAAACCGAGGTAATAAGAACAAGGAAGACACTATGATGCCCCCAAATGAAAAAGACACCCCAATTCAAGATTATGAAGATGATGAGATAGAAGAAATGCAAGAAATGGATCTCAAAAAATTGATAAGAACATTAAGAAGTTCTCAAAAACAAATTCTTGAACTACAGAAATCCTTAATGGACAAGATAGAAAATCTTTCTCGCGAAAATGAAATATTAAGGAGGAATCAAAATGAAATGAAACAACTAGTAGAACATGAAACTGTGATAGTGACGAGATATCATAATGAAATGAAGAATTCAATAGATCAAATGAAAAACACATTAGAGAGCCTTAAAAACAGAATGCATGAAGAAGAAGAGATAATAACAGACTTAGAAGACAGAGAACAGGAAAGGATACAGTCAAACCAAAGAAGAGAAGAGGAAATTAGAAATCTAAAAAATATTGTGGGGAATCTACAGGATAATATTAAAAAACCCAACATTCGGGTTCTAGGAGTTACTGAAGGCATGGAGAGGGAGAAAGGATTTGAATGCTTTTTTAGTGAGATAATAGCAGAAAATTTCCCAATACTCCACTCTCAGAAATAGATCAACTGGACAGAAGATCAACAAGGATACAGTAGATTTAAGCAACACTGTAGCCCAAATGGATCCAACAGATATCTACAGAACTTTCCATCCTACACATAAAGAATTTACATTCTTCTCAGCAGTACATGGAACCTTCTCTGGGATTGACCACATACTAGGCCATAAAGCAAGTCTCAACAAATTCAAAAGAATTATGATCATATGATGCAGCTTCTCAGACCATAGGGGAATGAAGTTGGAAATTAGCAACTCAGGAATCCCTAGAGCATATGCAAACACATGGAGATTGAACAACATGCTCCTGAATGAACAATGGGTCATAGAAGAAATCAAAAAGAGAAACAATGATTTCAAAAACTTTCTGGAAGTAAATAAGGACAACAGCACAACATACCAAAACTTATGGGATACAGCAAACGCAGTGTTAAGAGGA